CTCTGACACCCCTTCCAAGGTCACAGCACTGTCTCTGACTGTCAAAGCATTCTTCCAAGAGTTTCTGTGGTCTCTGGGATGCTCTCCCACTGACCATGAGATTGCTCTCTGAGATGTTTACTTTTTAAACCTTGTTTTTAACTGTTAGAATGATCAAGTAATCAGATAACCTAGGAGTATAAGGGCCATTTTTCCTCTTCCAAGTTGATTCCAAGCGTATTCCCAATACAGGCTGCCCTTAATTAGAAATTGGATTTTCTATGATACCCAATCCCATGCCTGAACAAAGAGGTGATAACCCAGTTTTTGCATTGTACTACCACAAATAGTGCAGGTGGCGCAGTGGTTTAATCTGTGCTGGTTGATTGAAAGGTTGCCAGTTCGAATCTGCACAACGGAGTGAGTTCCCGTTGCTCCGTCCCAGCTCCTGCCAACCTTGCAGTTCGAAAGCATGCAAATGCAAGTAGATGAAAAGGTACCACTTCGGTGGGCAGGTAACAGCGTTCTGTGCACTTCGGTGTTTAGTCTTGCCGGCCACACGACCATGGAGACTGTCTATGGACAAACACTGGCTCCCTCGGCCAGGAAAGGGAGATGAGCACCACCCCCTAGAGTCAGGCATGACTGGACATAACGTCAAGGGGAAACCTTTACCTTTACCACAATTAAGGGAATCAGTTGATTGACTGCTGCTCCATTTAAAAAAATTTTCTGCACATAGAAAACTCAAAGTTGGGTAGAAGGCTAAACACTTGGCATCTAGTTTCCTTTTTTTGTAGGACTTTTTTTAATGGAAGCATGTTCAGTCAAGTTATTGTCATGCCAGCAATCTGAAGTGATACAACTTGGGCAGAGGTTTAACATTCCAGTGAAAACTGAGTATATTTTAAAATATAAATTTTATTCATTCTAAATTATAAAAGTATGTGCATAGTAAGATATTTGGCAATCCAGTATTTGATCAGATGGTAGCTTGTTGTTATAAAGAATGAATTTCATATCATTCAAAAACCTCTGTCCTATCATGATACTATATTTCTTTCAGCTCAGTATGTCTTTTTACAGATGATTATGAGTTGTTGATGGTTTCAAGTTTGTATCTATAAAACATCCAAGTAGCATAAACATCTTCAGCATTGCTTTGTTGTTTCCCTGTCCCATTGGGTTGGTTTTGTCATTTTTTCCATCAGAGCAATTCTCAGTAGATTTTCTTCTGAAAAGCAAGAGGGCTGTGCATCTTGCCAAACTACTCTCTCTCTCTGTCACACGCATGCATGCACATAGAATTTGTGTTGTACCAATTAACTTTAATGTGTTTGTTAATCTAGATTATGCAGTGTATTTGTGCAAATTCCATTTGTATATCTGGGCATTTGTGATGCATATAGACATCTCTAGGTAGGCCAAGGTGTGGTTTGCATTTTCCCCTAGTTGACCATATGGAATTGAGCCTCTTTCAATTAGGTTTTGACCTGCTTACATAAGAAAAGAGATTGAACTCATGCTAGCAGAATCTGGCAGGAACGAACAGTAGGTTGGAAACCGGAGATTTCCTGATACATGAAAGAACTTGGGGAATTTCTGCTCATTTATTTTTTGGGGGGGGGAGATATGCAGCACCATGCCCCCCCCCAAAAAAAAGAATGATAGCACCTTGACATTTGCCAATGGCAAGCAAGTGCACCTGGATAAGCAGCAAAATTGCACCCACTTACATTCTCTCTAATGTTGTGGGGCTCTGATGCATGCCCATGTGTTAGCAAGGAATCAGTGGTGTGGCTGATAGTCATTTTTGGGGGGAAGCAGGGAGGGTGTTCTGTAAGATGAGGATATAGAGAGCTACCCCTGTGACTGCAGTGTTTTTTGTCCTAGCAGAGAAAGGGATTGGCATGAAGTGGCAGCCACGTATGCCTCTTCCCAAATTGTGTGCCCACCTGTGCATAAGTGACAGTGGGGGTGGAGGCAGAAGCAGAGGGCTGGAGGCAGAGGAGCACAGGGTTATCCCATCAGCTGGAATAGTCTGGAGGAAGTGGTAAGGGTGGTGGTTAAATGCAGACTATAAGAGGGAGAGAGTAGGACAAATGAAGAGCACATAGAAAGAGGGGTGGAACAAGCTGCTGCAGAAGTATTTGCAAACCTTGCACAAACTATTTCACAGAGTCATTATGAGGAAAACGAGATAAGAACTATAATGCAGTGCTGCCGCTTCCCCTGCCAGCACACATTGTAAAGTACTGTGGAAGCAATGACATTGCAGGAACTGAGAAAAAGTACAGAGCAAAGGTTTAAGAGACTTTACAGCATAAGAAATTTATATGAACGCCAGGCCTAAATAGAGGTTCATAACTGAATTTGGGAGGCTGAATTTGGATCTCTAATTTCCAAAACCCAGCACAGTTCCCTGTGCCACACTGGTCTGCTTCTAAGTTTTTAGAGCATTTAAGAAGTGGGGGCTGCACCTGTGCAAGAGCCCCAGCATCCACAATATAGAACTTCTGTGTTAAGCATGTCTGGTTATCTACTTTGTGAAATTCAGCTATGAATTGCTTCTGCTGCTGTGATTTCACAATTCTAATGTAATTCAGTTGCTCCATCACAAATAAAAATGCCCAGTTTGGAGTTGGAGAGAAGGAATCAAATATTGCTTTATTCTGCAACTGTAATTTGAACAATTTCATGCAAAGCAAAACAGATTGGTGGTATTTTATTATTATCCCATCCTTTCTTCAAGTAGCTTGGAGGCATCTGCTTATCACGGCTGAGCAAGCATCATTCTCCCAGCTTCTGAAGGACTGATAGTATAAACAGCTTGTACAGAAGGGAGACCTCTCCCCTTTCTGTAGCTGTGCAGATAATAGTTGTCAGCTAGGACTGGATATGAAAGATTACCAGTTAGGTGGGGTTGCTGTCTGGGAATTTGTACAATGAGGAATGTGCCAGTGTATTCAACCTCCCTTAATGTAAGTGGTTGCCTGCGGCTTCTAAAATTTGAAACCACATTCAGGTTCATGATAGAACAAAGGTCATTTTTCAAAGAACAAGGCTTGCACAACCCTTGTATACCCCACAGACCCTGGGTTCAGTTGACATGACAAGCTGTGATTGTACTTGAATATTGAAAACGGCTGCCAGCACACATCATAAGCCACTATGGCTTAAGTAGGCTATTTGATCATGTAAACCAGCCCTCCATGAGTTCTGTAAGTCTTGCAAGACTGAAGGTCCTTGGAATCAGATGAGATGAGAGGCCAATGGCTTGAATATTCTAGATGGCACCTATGTGTAGGGAATAAGTCTGCCTCCCCCAAAATGCAGCATTTCAAACTAAAGATTTCATACTCTAAACCTGAAGTCGAAGAGGGCATATCAAATGTTTAGCTGAAAAGCCAAGGTTAATGAACTTTGGGATTTCAGAGTTCATTAACAGCTGGTGAGAACCAGACCACCTCTGGCCCAGCTGGACACACTATAGAAGAGGAACAGTCAGAGGGGAAGGGATGTGAATTTATCAGCCCAGTGGTTCATCATCAAATCAAATGAGCAGAACAAGCAAGTAACATCCAGCAGTCCACAGTCTGGACTGGTCTACAAGCTGTGGGGACTTCCCTGTGGGAGGAGAGGAAAGGAGAAAGGGAATTCAGTTTGGAATCAGCTTCTGGCAATGCGATCATTAAGTTAATGGATATTACATGCTAACCATCAGATTACTCACTCCCTATTACAAAGCCAGTCTAATTCAATAAAGGACTTGTAGCTAGAATCTTCTCACCATGATCTATGAGAGAGAGAGAAAAGGGAAGAAACATGCTCTGAACATGGTAAGTGCTGCAGCTTGTCATTAAACAATAACAAACTTATCTTACAAGCTGCATTCCTGTGGTCTAAATCCCACTGACCTTACTGCCAGTCTCTTATGAATAAATGCATAGCATTGTGTCAGATTCTACAAAATAAATAATATAAAACTGACAGACATTTCTGGTCTGTTTTTTTAAAATTGTAAGTCGTATAATGCTTGCAAATTGGTTTCCCATCAAATGTTGTAAGATTTCTGAAAAACAGGATGTTATAACATTTTTCTGGCCCGCTAAGGCAACTTGTTGAATTGTCTTCCCACATTTTGTTTGCCTTTTCACTTGTTAATCATGATTGTAGTAAGATATCCTAAAGATTTTGTAGCAGAAGCCTCATGTGCAATCATCCATGGTCTGACTGGGCTGTGCTGAAATGAAAAAATGGTCCTGGCATGCATCACATTGAGATTCTATCTGTGTAGTGAGATGCTAGTAGGGCAAGCAGGCAGCACTGACATTTTATTTTGGAAATTGCAGCCTTGGAATCAGTAACTCGCTTTACGTGGGGCTGCCCTTGAAGACAGTCCGGATACTTCAGATGGTGCAAAACAGAGCTGCCAGGATGCTGTCGGGGACTGGACATTCTTCTCATATAATCCCAGTCCTCTATCAGCTCCATTGGCTTCCCATCAAAGTCTGGGCTCAAATCAAGGTGCAGGTTATTACCTATAAAGCCCTAAACGGCTTGGGACCAGGATACCTAAAGGAACGCCTTTTTCCCTATTTGCCCTCCCACCCCCTGAGATCGGCAACAGAAGCCCTCCTCCGAGAACCCTCTGTGAAAGATGTTAGGAGACAGAGTACCCGGAGGAGGGCCTTCTCTGTGGTGGCACTGCGACTATGGAATGCGCTCCCCAGAGAGGTCTGCCTGGCGCCGTCATTATATGTTTTTCGGCGCCAGGTTAAGATCTTTTTATTTAATCAATATTTTAATATGTTTTAATATTGAATTTTATTATTGTATTTTATTAACTTGCAGCCAGAGTGGGTCGTCAATTTATTTATTCTGTAAGCCATCCAGAGACATAAGTAATTGGACGGCATACACATTTTATAAATAAATAAATAACTGCAAGTAACTATAACTTTATATATATAACTAACGAACTAACGAACTATGCAAGTAACTATAACTGTTTCATACAGGTGAGCAACACGATGGCTGAGAATTCATCTGTGAGTCCAGGTGGCATCACTCCCCTGCAGCAAATGCTGGCATCTGGAACTGGAGCCCTGTTCACCTCTCTTTTTGGTAACTATTCAGAAGTGTTTTGCAGTTTATTCTGGTCTGAATGTACTTAAGTTTGCACTACTTCTCTTGTGTCCCATCACAATAGATCAGGTAGTTTAGGTTCAGTTTACACTTGATGTTCATTACTAGATTTCTGTAGCCTCAGTTAGTGACTAGTATGCAGAAGAGTTATAGATCTAATACAACAGATAGACATTTCATCCTGCTTCTGGCACACTACTTCTTACTGGAAGTGTTTTAGACTTCTTCTGTTATCTGGTCAAGTGGTAGTATATATGTGAACCAGTCCTTAATCTGATGCTTCTCAACCTTTGAGACACAATTTCTTAATTAAAATTAAGAATTGAAATTGAAGATTCACTCATTTACACAAAAGCTTTACTTTTTAAAGTACACAAGCATTACCTGTTCTCAGAGGAGCCTAATCTCAATATTTTCTATATGAATCACTGGTTTGGCACTACTTACTTCTGACTGGGAAGCATGGGCAGTTCATGGATACAGAGCTGCAGTGGATAGTGTCTTCTGAGGTCTGGTATTTTGTTGCATCTCTTGTTCTCTTGATTGGATTTATCACCTCCAATACAGCCACACTTAATGCAAAGCTGCAGCAGGATTACTTTCAGATGTTCTCTCTGGGAGGCTGATTGGAAAGAAGCAAGACTAGAGTTTGTGACTGTGCCTGCTTTATCTCTGCATGATGTTCTTTAGGATCATGAAGCCTTCAACTGTTTCTTAAATTTATTTAACTCTAGTAATTCTCTCAGGATGCTTCCAGATATAACTTTTTGTGCAACTACCCTGCCTTATGGAATTGCAGGGGGTCTAAGCAATGTCTTCCTTTTCTAACTGTTCTCTTTTTTCTCACTGCTGCTTCCATTTTTTTGCCTACTAGAAAAAAGCTGTTAAGGAAGAGATGGAATAGTTTCACAATGTCTTTTCTTTGTTAGTGCTAGCAATTCCCTGTCTAAAAGTGCCCTTGGAATGCACTAGTGTTTTGCACACACAGTTGGAGAATGTCCACTGTGGTCTATACCTGTCATTTGAAAATGTGCATGGAGGTGGCTTTTGCCCTCCTACAACTGGCTTGAGATCTGTATTGGGGACCCGAAAGGGAGATTTAGCTCACATTTTACTTAACCTGTTTCCTCTGCATTTAGCCAGAAGTTTGCACTAAAATATACTCCCCCTGCACTCCAAATATACTCCTTGTTCTCTGCAGTGTGGATGAATTAAGCCCATTGAATTCAAGCAGCTTACTGCTTCTATCCTTCTTGAGGGAGTTGACTTGGGAGGGAGCCGCGTTGCTGCACCTGTATTCATTTGCCAGGCTCCAGCATGAAATGAGCTCTCAAAGAATTCAAGCGACACAGTGCTATCCTTTCCCTCTGCCATCCTGTCATGTGCCTCATTCAGACAGTGCCTATTGAGATATTTTCAAAAGTTGCCCCACATCTCAAAACTCCCACATAAGGCTGCGTTGCTGAAGTGTCACATAACGAAGTGCTTCCATGTTATATTTTCAGTTACACCTTTAGATGTGGTAAAGATCCGACTGCAAGCTCAGAAAACACCATTCTCTAAAGGTAAGTAATTTCTCTTTTGCGTACCAAAAGCCAGTGGAGAAGCATGGATGTTGGTGGCTTAAAAACATTTCCTCGGATTCAAAAACTTCAAGAAAAGCACTTCATGCAGCCCTCTTCAGTTTGAATCACTTCAGAATACAGATGGGGAACTATATATGTAGAAAGGCTTTCCCAAGTCACAGAAATAGCAGTGCTAGGTCAAACCAAGGGCCTGCTGAGTCCAGCTTTCTGTTCCCATAGTGGCAGACCAGATGCCCAAGCATAGCAGCATCCCCCTGCATGTTCCATAGCAGCTTGTGCATACAGGCATGCTGCTCTGACGCTGGAGGTGGTGCACAGCTATTATAATCAGTAGCCATTGATGCTTTATCCTCCAGTAAATTGCCTTTTAAAGCCATCCAAGTTGCTGACCATCACTGCATCTTATGGTAGCAGGCTCCATAATTCATCTGTGCACTGTGTGACAAAACACTTGCTCTTGATTTCCCACTCAGAAAAGATCAGTGCATGTAAAAATAACCCTGTCTCCCTGCTGTGCTCATCTTCCACCCCCTGGGAGTTTTTTTTAATAAGTTTTATTGTTATTTTCTACTAAATAACAAAACTAACACAAAAAAATTTAAATCCTGAATCATGAAAAACATCAGACCTACTGGGTCAGCCCCCCAAACTTTTTATGGTAATCCATAAACACATTTAAATCTATGTATAGTCCCGTTTCTCTAGCCAATAATACAAGGAATTCCAAGTTTGATAGAAGTCTGTATCTTCTTTCTCCTTCAAAGACAAAGTCAATCTGTCCATTTCAGCACAGTCCGAGATCTTTTTTAAAATCAGTTTGTCGGTAGATGGTTCTTCACTCTTCCAATGTTGGGCAAATGCAATCCTCACTGCAGTAGTTACATGTAAAATCAAATACGTTGTTTGATTACCAACATCCTCAGGTACAATGCCTAATAAGAAAACTTCAGGTTTAAATATTAGGGGTTCTTGTAACATTTCCACCCCTGGGAGTTTTTTATGTGGTGGAGCTGGCTTGCAGTTCACCCATATCGCTTCTGAAGTGGAACCCCCTGAGATGGGCTGCATTAACGGCTGTTCCTGCTCATGAAGTACACCAGTGGGGCATAATCGTGAATGACTGCGGGTTGGACTGGAGCTTTATTGGTAGTGTGTTGTATTGAGCAGATTTATAGAGGTGGCACCTTGTGTTTCTCTGTGTAGTCCCTAACTGGCTTATGCCTATTTGTTAATAGGACTGGACAAAAATGCATAAGCCTCCCTACTGCTATTAAACCTTTCATCTATTGCGGTTCTTAGTGTCTGACCTAAGAGCAGTGACCCTCATCATTTGAAAGTCTTGCTTAGGTTTTCTGCTTCTGAGATTGCTCCAGGTTCAGGCCATGCATTTTTCAAGCTCATTGCCATAGGTCATAGCATCTTAACAATGAGTTTGTAAAAGAAATCAAATTATCTAGATGCATGGGCAAAACCACCATCTGCTTTGCGTTTTTAGGCAGCCCTGACCCAGCTGGAGGTTCTCACATCTCCCCAGCTGTTTCCCTTCCTTCACCCCACCTATCATTGAGTATGTACATGTTGTCTTTTTCAGTGTTGTCAATACAGACTATACCCTGGAGCATTCACCAGCCTAAATGTGAGTATTTCAGGTGCTTTCTCATCTAAGCTGCACAATCAGCTCTCTGTTGATGCAGCTCTGATCCACTGACTACTCACACTCCCTAAGGAGAGTGCTGGGCATTCTTTCTTTCTTCTTCACATTCCTGCTCAGTGCTGTGGAAGAAAATGTTCATTTCCTCCTTCACTGAGGCATTTGGTATTCATCTGCCTGTGAAAGGCTATCATACAGCTTATTGGCTAATACTGAGCTACAAAATCAAGGATTTCCTGATTTGAATTGCACTTTTGCTGCAAACTTACTAAGTGGCCTTTGGCAAACTATTCTCTGTTAGCCTCAGTCCACCATCTCCAGTATGGGGATAATGCTGTCCTTTCTTACAGAATTACCACAAAATGTTCATAGACGATGCTTTTCTGAAGAGTCAGTGTTATGAGTTCCCTGCCCAGAAAAATAGAATTGCCTGTGTATAGTTGTGGTAGTCCATCTTATCTTGGCTGTATCAGGATACCAGATTCATTTCTTTAAGCTGCTTTTACTCTGTTCTTCAGCCAGAAAGGCTCCTGAAGCCATTTACATACCAATAAAATAAGACAGTCCCTGTTCACAGACTAAAAACTAAAATAAGCAAAACAAATGGGATTATGAGGAAGCAGTTACAAAGTTCTACAAAGTGCTAGTTACAAAGTTCAGCGTGTAGCAACTCAGCAGGTTGTAGAACTGGATTTGTGCTCAGTAGAAGGGCTACGTCCTCTTCTGACAACCTCAGTAATGACCATTGGTTAGTAGAGGCCTGGAGGGGTGGTCCTGGGGCTATATCTAGGCTCAGCAGAGGGTACCTGGATGCTACTGCTGCTGTTGCTGCCCCCACTCCCTCTGATGGTTCTGGTAGTGGCAGTTGATAATTATAAGGTGTCGCCAATAACCCAGAGAGAGAATGGGTAGCCAGGGGTGGGAAGCACATAGTGGAACATACTTAATACTGCCATGTCCTCACCACTGCTCAATATTTTCCTATGTTTCATCTTACTAAAGCATTTCCTTCTTCCCAAGTGTTACAAGGTTGTCTAAGTTTGTTTAAACATATGGGATGGGGTACATCTTTTGTCTTGGACCTGTTCCTTAGCATCACAACATCTGATGGGTGTCCCATCCAATATGCTGGTGCAAGTCCAGATCAACTTCCTAATTGTCAGTGTTGCTTTGGACAGTGTGAACTGTTGGAAACATGCAGACATTGCAGGCGAGGATTTACATCTTTGAATATTCCCTGTGTAAAAAGGACATGCATATTGAAAAGCAACACATTGGGGGAAGGGCTTTACCATATTAAAACCCGGCTGCATCAGCTTTCAGCCTTTAATCATTTATTAAAGGGTTAATTTGTCTCTTTAATGTCTGAAGTCCATCACTGTTTACCTGTGGGCTTCAGTAAGAGATATGCTGCCTGGTTCTAGCATGATAGCATCTTACAAAGAACAATATCCTGTCTTCTGTCTCTTCCATGTGGGAGATTTGCAGCTTCTTCATATTTTGAGTTTCCCTTACTTTAAGATGCATTTAATTGGGGCAGTGTATATTCTGCATTTAATTTTTCCTGCCCAAATTTGATTTTTTTGGATTATACTTACCAAAATATCTTCAGATAGGTTTGATTTTGCATTAGTCATTCTTGTTCCATGATCTGAAGTCTTCGGATTTTAATCTCTTTTCGCTTCTTGTCTTTTTGTGCCAACAGAGGGGATGAGAGAGAGAACAGAATAGAAAAACAGTTTCTCTGCAACTGTCCTCTTCTTCTCTTTTGAACAAAAGCTGAGCATGTCTGGATGCTACTTTGAATATTCGATAGCACAGAATATACTCAGCACTAGATCTGGTGTGGTTAGACAGAAGGCTATTCTCATCTTCTCTTTTCAACCACAGAGTTTCTCAACCATCATTTGTGTGCCTGGTGCATTTCTTGTTCTCTTCCTTTCTTTGTTCTATGATTTTCTTGGACCTTGTCTGAGTCCGATCTAACCTTTGTCCTAACAAAAGTGAATAGTTGTCTGTTGGGGCAAGCAACTGTGATGATATCTTTTGTGGAGCAGGTTTTTGGTGCATGCTACCAAACATACTCTATACAGAGTGGATCAACTTCTATGGATGCTGCTCTACCTGAAAACAATCTCTTGGATCTTGTTCTGTAGCATGTTCTTGTGGTTATCACATCTGCTATGATTAAGAGAACATCTAACTTCAGTGCCTGGAGAAGGACAATAGATTTATTATGCAGCACACAGTCAGGGTGCAAATTCAGCACTGCAGGGATGTTGTGGCTATCAGCACAAATGGAGTTAAAATAGACTTACCCTCCCTAATTTATTAATGGCCATAGCCACAAAGATTAAGCATAGAACCACAAAAATCCCTCTGATGTCTAGATATGCGGGGAGGGGGGCGTTGAAGAATGATAGCTACCATTCTCATTATCTTGCTTGAATGTCTCACCAGAATATTTTTGAGGGAAAGTTTGTTGGTAATAATATGACTGTTCCCAAAAGCCAAGGAGAGATTTCAACTGGATTCAAGGATGTCAAGATCTTACGTTTCCATCAGTGCAGGAGCATGAATGGACCATGCCCTCGCTCTTTCAGTCTGTGCTTAATGGGCTGAAACTAATGCCTAGCAGCTCCTGACAGACTGGCATCTCCAAGTGAGTGTCTGTTTCTGCTCTGTCATTTCTTTGCTTGGGCTGGGGTGGGACCCCGAATTCTTCCATCTTGGTTATACCACTTTCTTTGGCTCAACATAAACTGTAGGCATAAGCCTACCTACCTCAGAGCACCATCAGATTATAGGTAATCTAGGCCTGCGTGGACAGACTGCCTATCTATCAGGGGAAGGGGAAATTGAAAAAGCATTTGGGAAACAAGACATTTTCCAATTTGGAATAAACATACAAGCAGAGCTTTATTTTTCTGTAATTTACTGGACACTTTCTAGACTCATGGTTTTGTCTTTTTGCTCTGAGTTTTTCTTGATGGCTTTCTTGACCACTGATAAAAGTGGAAGGCTATGTAGGCTGGTGATAAGCTTTTGGTTAATGAAGGTGGTTTCATTGCTCATATTGCAAACGGCCTTGAGAAAGTGATATGCTTCAGACCATGCAGCAGATATGGCTGATCTTGACTTGAACTCTGGAATAATGGAGTCAGTGCCTGCTGTGTACCGAAAAGGGGCTGTGCATGGTGCAAAGGCACTATCGGACATCAGTTTCAACCTTGTCCGGCTTCCTGGCTTTTCAGAGAGCACAAGGTGATGGCTGCATGTGTGCAGCCTTATTTGTGCAGTCATGACAGGTAAAAACCAAGAAGATGGTCTCTTAGATTCCCAAGGTTACAAATTCTGCTCTTCATACTCCATGTTGTGTTTGTGTGGCTACCACTGGGGTGGCTGGGATTCATGCAGCCTTATATTTGGGGAGACGAAATGTGTATGGGATTCGTGAGCACATGTATTTGAATGTGGAGCAGGCAACTCCAAATGGTGAATGAATGATCAAGTAAGAACATCTGATGGCATAACTTAATTCCTGCCCTGAGTACCATTCCTTTTTGTGTCTCCATCTTCAACAGGGAAATGCTTCCTTTACTGCAATGGCCTCATGGACCACCTATATGTGTGTCAGAATGGAAACAGCTGCACAGCCTGGTATAAGACCCCTACTCACTTCACAGGGACCATGGTAAGGTCCTGTATGAGAAAGGGCTGATGAGTGGTCTGCCAGCTAGGAGATTTATGTACTTTCACAATCCCCTAAGTGCTTCTGGCTTGAGTTGGTTGTGTAAATTAGTATGTGCCCAGGGGTGGAAATGTGCTAAGACCATTGATAGCATACCATCTTCCCTTATTAAGAAATGGAGGCTGTGTTCTTCTATGGATCTCCAGATGATTCCTTTTAAGGGTGCCAGAAACTGAAGTTGATCTGAGATTTAGTAGTTGATACTTTGGTGTCCCTTAGGGCCTAACTACTTACTTAGATGAAACTACTTTCTTGGAGGGGGCATATCTTCCTTTTCCCCAGTGGCATCTACATGCTAGTGTGAAAGGATTTCAGAGGTTCATGCCCTTAATTCCATCCGTCCTCTTTGGCCTCTGTTACTAACTGATCTCAAATCACCTTTATATAAGTTGGCAGTCCCAGTCCTCTGTTTGGTTAGCCGATAGAGCTTCCAGCACATGTGAGGCATGGTGCTGATCTTTGCACTCAGCTGACAACCACATGGGACATTCAGAAGGGAAGTGCAGATGGACAGCAAGAAGAATGGGGTACTCTGGGCTTCTTCTGGAAACAGACTGAACCAATGTTCTGACCTGGATCTCTTAATAAATGGCGGTCAATGGGCAGCTTCTGTGTTGTCCTACAGCCATGCCAAGCAGTCCTGCCTGCAGCCATAGATTTCTAACACCTTCCTATTTCATCCATCCCACCCTACCCATACCTGACAGACAAAAGCTTATTGACCTGTAGCTGCTGTGTTAAGACGGAATTGCTGTGTTTGATAAAAGTAGAGAAGAAGGCATCTCTTTCTCAGTCAGGGTAATCCCACGAAGCTGATTGCTGTGAGATTCAGGACAGTTAAAAGGAAGTACTACTTTACACAGCACATAGTTAGAAACTGTAGAATTTGTTACAAGGTGTAGTGATAGCCGCTAGCTGGGATGGCTTTAAAAGAGATTAGATAAATTCATGGAGGATAAGACTGTCATTGGCTATTAGTCTAAAGGAAGGATGCCTATGGATACTGCTTGCTGGGTTACATGAATGGGAGAGTATTACTGATTTGTGTCCTGCTTGTGGGTTTCCTGTGGCCACTTTGGTCACTTTCTAAACAAAGTAATCAGATGGATTGTTGGTGTGAACCAACATGGTTTCTGTGTTCATTGCACAGGAGGGCGAACCTTCCTAGTGTTTGCCTTTTCTTTTTGAGAGTAGAACAAATGCAAGAAACAAACCCTTCATGGGTCATCTTCCCCTCCCTCCCTCCCTCCCCCCCTCCCCACCCACACACACACACACACACGCGTGCACACACACACACACACACACACACACACACACACACCAGCTTCTAAAAGAGGTAATGAGAGGTTTAAAACTGTAAAGTGCACAGGGTGATTGCCAAGCCATTTTTTTCCTTCTGGTTTCCAAATACAGGTTTGTCCATGTAGCCATGCATTTTGAGTATTGCTAGGGAGATGCGGCAAGCAGAAAAAGTGTCAAGTATGTTCATTCCTGCTGCTGCTTCTCTCCACTTTCCCCCATCCTAAAGCCACCTAGAATTCATCACAACATTTCTGCCTGACATGTTGTTCAGCTTTATGGTTAGCCTATGAAAAGCCATTGAACTTATATAGCCTTGTAAATAAATCCACAAATTTAATTATGTTTTAGTTAAGTTATTATATTGATATCCCACCCTTTTTTCCTTCAAGGAACTCAAGGTGACTTACATTGTCCTCCTCCTCTCAGTCTTATCCCATCAACACTCAGGTGAGGTAGATGAAAGTCAATGACTACCCAGTGAGCTTTGCGGCCAAGTGGTCAACTACAACTTGGATCTCTCAGATCCCAGTCCTACACTCTAACTATTATAATACACTGGACCCTCAAAAGTTAGTAGCCTGCGATTTTTTACTTGTATGCTAAGAAGCTAACAGCCTGAATTTCCACATGGCCACAGAGGAGGGAAATACATAACAATACACATTTCTAGACACTTACTAGGTGAGTAAACAATGGTTTCATATCAAACAGGCAGCTTGACAAGGGACAGGGCTAGGTAATTGGCTTCCCTTTTTCTGCAGTCAGCTCATACTTGAAGTGGATTGCTGGGGGAGGGATGTCCTTCATGGAATTCCTAGTCACCCATGGCTAACAAGCCAGTTGGTAAATACAAGGCTGAGCTTAGTTCAGAAAATATGGTGATTTAATAGCTTCAGTTCAGTTGGAGTGGACAAGGGAAAAGGACTCACTGTGCTCCTAAGCACATTTTACAGTTTTCTTCCTTCTAACTCAACTCTCCCTAACTGTTTGTGTGTGTAGTGCTTAAGAGCACGGGCCTGGGACTCAGGTGATCTGGGTTTTAGCCCCCACTCGAGCACGGAGCCAACTGGGTGATTTTGGGCCAGTCACACGCACTCAGACCAGCCTAGCTCATGGGGGTGTTTTTGTGGGGATAAGGTTGAGAGTAGGAGGAGACAAATGATGTAAATCACCTTTTCTTAAAAAGAACTAAGCATATCCTAAGCATAATTCCTAAGTATAAATCTAATACTTAAATCTAATTACTAACTAAACTATTCTTCTTTTCCTCTTATTTGTTCTAGGATGCTTTTGTGAAGATAATACGTCATGAGGGGATCCGGTCCTTATGGAGTGGCCTGCCACCTACACTGTGAGTCTGAACACAATTGATATACACTTTAAATAAAATCCCAATCTCTCCCAAATACAGTATTGATGTTGTTTGAGAAGCACTCTTAAAGTATTATTCATTGTCATGCTAATTCTCCACCAGATGTTTATCCAAACTTAGTCTGCACTATCTCTGAATTCTACCTTCTCCCAATAAACATGTGCATCCAGCTTCAAGAAAGAAATAGTGCATAGAGGTCATACTCAATGCTTTATCCATGTCATTAGAGCACATCCCATGACCCAGTTTGAAGGGTGGTGGTGCAAAAGTTCATTTCAAGTGGCTGCACAGTTTTAAAATTTGTTAGAACACTAAATCCCAATGATATTTCCATCCTGGAGTTTTGAAAAGGAAACACTTCTAACCTTCATAGTTACAGAGTGACCCACTGAAAGATGTGGGAACATTTTGCTAAGTTTTATTAAGAAACCTGCATTTTTAAAGGGGCCTCCAGTCCCTTTGTGCCATTTCTCCCCAGTTCTCAGTGAATAGTGGCAGTTTTTGCCTTAAAGAAGTTTTGCATCTGTGTGTGAGCAGAATTCTTGATAGGCTTATGGGTGGTGTGTAGAATTTACACATTACAGTTCACAGTTGAATTTACAATTACCAAAGTGAATGAAGTTCTACGTGTACATGTACAGTGTGCTTTCTGGAAGCATCCTGCTTAATCTTCACAACTTTTTGACAGAGTTATGGCTGTTCCTGCCACTATGATTTACTTTACTACTTATGATCAGCTACGTGGTTTCTTGTATGCTAAGATGGACAGCCAAGGACGCTACATCCCACTAGTGGCTGGAGGTTTGGCTAGACGTAAGTCTTACTTTCCTCCTGTACTTGCATACTTGCAGGAGCTTTCTTTGTGTGTTCAATAATTGCATTAGGAGGTAGTTATATTTACTGTACTAATCATGTAAAATTGTGAAGGGGGAACACAAATGATTGATAGGCTTATGGCTAGATGCCAATGTGAGTTGGTTGAAAAAAAAAGCAAATGTTATTTGGGGATTATTAATAGAATTACAGCTTTAAAGTCATGTGACGCACTGGTTCCCCTCTATTTGGTGCTAGTTTGGCCCCATCTTGGGTACTGTGTTCAGTTCTGGGCTTCACAGTTTGAAAGACACAGACAAACTTGAAAAGGTTCAGAAGAGGGCAGCAAAAATGATCAAGGGACCAGAAACAAAGCCCTATGAGGACCAAGTGAAAGAACTAGGTATGTTTAGCCTGGAGAAGAGAATACTTGAGGGGAGATATGATAGCACTTTTCAAATATTTGAAAGGCTGTCACACAGAGGAGGGTCATGATCTCTCTTCAGTCATTCTAGAGTGCAGGACATGGAATAATAGGCTCAAGCAACAGGAATCCAGATTCCACCTGGACATCAGGGAAGGCTTTCTGACTGTTAGAGCAGTACGGTAATGGAACAATTACCTAGGCAGGTCATGGTCTTTCCCATATTGGAAGCAGTTAAGAGACAGTTGGACAGCTATTTTTCAATGATGCTGTAACTTGGGAGTCCTGCATTGAGCAGGCAGTTGGACTTGATGGCCTTATAGGTCCCTTTCAATTCTGTGATATTTTATGAAATGTGAACTGTACTACATAAATGCTAAAGTATGTTGAAATACTAGCCTTTGCACAAGCAGAGGTCAGGTATCAAGAGTTGGCGTGTGACATATTTGTGCTTGAATCCAGTTGGGACTCTGGGCCAAAAGGGCAGCTTTAATAAACTGTGGCTTGGCCTCTCATATATATTTGAATTCTCTTTCCTAGTGGGCGCAGTAACTGTGATCAGCCCATTGGAACTCATCCGAACAAAGATGCAATCCCGCCCACTGAGCTACCGTGAGCTGAGTGTCTGCATCCAGTCTGCTGTGGCCCAGGATGGTTGGCTGTCACTCTGGAGAGGTTTGGGGCCCACAATGTTGCGGGACGTTCCTTTCTCAGGTATGGATGCAGCAAGAGGAAGGGAGTTAGTAGCAATAGGGAGGACTTAAGAGGATTGGAATTAATTTCAGAGGTGAAAAGAACTTCCCACTTTGTTTTAAAGCAAGGGATATGCCAGTTTTAAAATACCAAAAGAATGAGAGGGTGACTGCTTGCTTCAACTGGCAGTGAAGCTTTTGTAAGTGACCATTGGGCACAGTGTCTTAATTCATATGGAAAGCAGGGTATCAGTATTACACTTTATTTGTGGAGGCTGTAGGACAATTTCAGAAGGGACTGAATGAGCATCTGTCCCTGATGGGTTTCCTAATATTGCAGGGAGGTTGAACACTATAGCTCAGTCCCACCATGCCTGTTTGGAAGGTCACATCCTTCAGGTTTGTGTGCAGATGGACTGGGCCTCAGGAATCCATGTCCCTCCTTTCTAGGCAATTAAATGTGTTCCCCTTCCTCAGTACTGAGTGGTTTGAGTATATAAGAACTGTTGAAAAAGGTGAATCCATAATGATCCTGGGTAGGAGAGCTGGTAGCTTAGTAAATTCGCATCCTTACTTCCTTCACCAAAAATAAAGACAGTGAGCTTCTGATGCGTGTAATTCTCCCTACCCTTTCTGATCTTTCTCTTCCTCTTGTTTCCCCACAGCTCTGTACTGGTATAACTATGAACTGGTGAAGGAACATTTTTGCAACCGATTCCATCTTGATGAGGCCACGTTCATGGTCAGCTTTGCAGCTGGTGCCATTTCTGGCATGGTGAGTGCCAGAGTTTTAAAACTCTTTCAGAAATAACCTAGAACGATTACCTAATAGAGGGATGCAAATCAAATGTGCCTGTAGGAGAGTGTTTTCTTAACTGTGACCCAGAGAGCCTTCCTAATCAGTCTAGGTTTTGCAACCAGGAAGACTGCAGTCATCTTACTTTACCTAACATTGGTCAGCATAAGTGAACGCTGATTAAGAAATACTGTGCTTCTTGGCTTAGGCTTCCTGAGTGAATGGATAACTTCTGTGTGTGCAGCTTTTGCAAAAGCCCATTAGCATGGCAAAATGTAATCATACACATAGTGCCTTTTTAACAACTGCTAACTTTGTCTTTTGCAATTTTTAATTTAACAGAAGCTGCTTTTTTCTTTCTCTCTCAGTGAAAGAAGTTTCTAAAAGTGAGTTTGAGACTTGTTCACACAATCCAAGAACCCATTTGTTGTTTGAGTGCACACAAACAAGCATGGTGGCTCCTGCTAACCCACATGCACTCAGAAACAACTCATTATCTTTTTACCATGGGTTGCTGGATTGTTCCTGGTTTGTTGCTGTGATTTGTGAGCCTGACAGTCTAGGTTGTTTAGGGTTAAACAATGCCAAGTTGTCATCAACAAACAGTGAATTGAAACTCTCGGTAGCTTAAGTCATGTTTAGCTCAAGATGAGAGCATCCTTGTCTGTTCACCCTCTTCTCTACTTTGCTTGTGCGCGCTCGCGCGCTCGCTCTCTCTCTCTCTCTCTCTCTCACACACACACACACACACACACACTCATGTGTGCACTCTCACAACGATGAAGGTCCTGATATAACAGTATTCAGACATAACATAGCGGGTGATGGATAGATGGAAACATAGATTGATGGGAAGAGTATTTGTTCACCTGAGTCTCCTGCTGCAGTTTGAGGTATTACAGTGCAGACACAGGGTTACTCTCTCAATAATATGGCATAACCTCTGCAGGCTCATTTATCTGACATTGCATAATTACGGGGTGAAATCATGTCTTCTTAGCATTCCCACATAACTCAGTAAGGCTTTGTTAGACCAAGATTGACTCTTAGAGCTGATTCACACGCCCATGTGTTTCACCATTTGAGGTGTCCTTCCTTGATAATTTTCCATCACTTGATGTTCCCCAGGCAAGTGTGTGAACTGCTTCCATCTTAAAGTATTGTGTCTAGCCTTTAGCTGAGATCAGGCGACGTAAAATTTCTAGGAAATATGGTAATGCAGACATGTGGTATTTTCCTTTCAACTATAAAGGCATCAACATCATGTACTTCATTTATTACATTGTTTTCTCAGCCTTCCTCCAAAGAGCTGAAGGCAGGTTACCTGGTTCTCCCACTGTCTCTTCTACCCCATTTAATTCATGCAGTCACCCTGTGAGTTAATTAGATTGAAGGGGAATAGCTAGCCCAGGCTCCCTGAATGGGGTCTGCCACCCAATCTTCCAAGAGAGTCAAAGTCCAAAACTCAACTGTAGCCTTAAAGAGGATAGAACCGGAGTCCTTCCTGCTACAGTAGGCACAGGAGACAGGTGGGTAGCAAGAGAGCAGAGGGAAGGCACATCATCTTGTGCCCTTACAAGAAATTCATAATGTAAAAACCATCTGAGATGGACCACCTGAGCATATCACAACAACAGCAGCAGCCAAAGAACAGAACATTTCTGGGTTGTTTCGAAAGCAAGAAGTAGCAGGCAGGTGGTAGGAAGTGTGTTCACTTGCATCCTGTGCAGCTATTTCTGTTTCTAGATTGTTTCGTCCAAGGATTGGGTGTCTGTGAACAAGGTTGTTGCATCTATCCACTCCAGAGACAGAGCTTATGCAAATCAAACAAACTCTGTGCCAGTTCCAGTCCTCTGTCAGCTCAAAAAAGAAGCCAGTAGTAGCAAAAGTGGTGTTGAAGGGCTCAAGCATTCTTAGGGATGGCTTTGCCTCTGAGACTCTTCTAAAACAATGGCCAGTGCAGCTACAGAGTGGGGAAGCAGGTACATTCTGTTGCTTTTGCATCAGTTTTGATGGTGGTAGAAGTGGGTTTTGGCTGACCAAGAAGGCATCTTAGTTAAATGCCATCATTTTCCTGGGCACTCAGGCAAGTGGCCAAACTAGGTTTGGTCCAAGAGATATCTGATCTGGCTGCGGTCATGCATGGCTTAGTTTCATCCCATTTGGATTACTATCATGTGCTCTACATGGGACTGCCATCAGAAACTTGTTTAGAAACTTTGGCTGGTCCAGAATGCTTTAGCTAGACTATTGATGGAACCAGTTCAAGGGAGCACAGGCCACCCTTGTTACCATGATTATGCTGGCTACAGGTTTCTTTCAAATTCAAAGGGCTGACCTCAATACCCCATGGCTTGGGAAAGACCATCTTCTCTCATATGTGCTTGCCCTGGTTCCTAGGATCTTCTTGGGGGGGGGGGGAGTCTTTTGGGACCACTACCTTCAGAGGTGCACTTGGTGGCAACCTGAGAGAAGGCCTTTCCAGTGGCTGCTCTGAGGCTGTGGAATTCCCTGCAAAGGGAAGCCGGGTCCACCTCCCATCCACTGTCCTGCTGAGTTAGATGCTGTTCCAATAATACTTTTCCATGTAATTTCTTTTATTGTATTTTATTGTTTGAATCCATTCTTGAAACTCTTAGATGCCAGTTTTTGGAAACAAAAGGTGGGGCAGAAAATAAACAGACACACAGGATGTCATTAGTGATGACCTGCTTCCTAATGGGACAGACATGGCATCTGGCTCAGTTCACTCTAAGGATGTGTGAATCAGCAAAAGTCATGTTCATTGAAGTTTTCCAAGTTCCATCTTGAAATTCATTCCAACTCAAGCGCATATCAGATTGCAAGTTTTGTTTTTCATGTTCACACAAGAACCTATTTCTGCACATATGTTTCAGGATCTGTGCATCAGTTCTGCACATCTTTGAAATGTATATATTCTTCTCCCATTGATTAAAGTATATTTATGCACATTTTCCAAAAGTACAAATTTTGTCATGTGCATTTCTCAAAAGTATGCATGCTGTTGAAAGCAATTTTTTGGTCATGGATCAAATTGGAAGCTCAGAATTTTATGGACTTGGATTTGCATCCGAGTCTATGTCTGGTTTGACAGGGGTTGTGCTGCCAAAACCCTAATTAAAAATCAACAGAAACATATGACTAATTCATCCCTTCACTGCTAGTAGATAATGAGTCCCTCTTCCTGGATTCCCATTTTCTCTTGGTGATGAGCCTCCATGACATCAGCCGCATTGCCAGTATACAATGCCGGCTGGCTGGCTCCACCATAGCTGTTTGCAGTGACATCCTCATGATAATTCACTTTATAGCAACAGTGAACACACCTAAAATGTTATAAAAAAGTCTATACTAAAATGCATCCACAGTTTGCAGCATTTCTATGATATAACCATTAAAAAGGCTTTTTCATGTTGGATTCTATTAAACACAACTTCTAATCCACTACCTTTACCTATTAAGTATGTTAGGACTATAAAATCCAAGTTAGCCCTCCATGCTTTTTAGACATTTCAAGAAAGAAAAAACATTGGAAGGATTCTTTTCCATATATCTGAAGAAAAATCATTAAAATTTAAAAACATTAAAATACACAGTAAAGTGTTTCTGTAGAGGAATGGACTAATAAGACCATAAAGTTTTGGTACTGATGGAATAGTTTGTTTTATCAGCCAAGGGAGTCTAATACATCACATTCATTGTAGTTCTGTATGTAAATAATCTCATGTAAGGGAACATGTTCAACATGTGAATGCATTTTAACAAAGGCGATGAATTAGAACTTGTTATCTTACATAATCTAAAGTAAACATAATTTTCAATGGCTATGCCTTAGAAATGCTGCCTATTATGGGTGCATCTTAGTGCAGTAATCATTGTAACATGCCTGCAGATTTTAGGAGTGTTTTAGACCATTAATAATGTTTTGCTGTGATGTATTAGTTTTATCTTGAAATTGTTTTATGAACTGTCTTACTAATAGGAACCTTTTCTAACCTATTTTGGTGTGTTTCTTGTAGTTGCATGCCAGAAATTGAGGTTTATATTCAACAATAATTTTAATACCATTTATTTTAATAGTTTTGTTTTATAAATGTGACAGATTGTGGATTTGATGGGCAACATTAATTCATGTAGCATTTTCATATGTATATGTGTTTAGGGTTTTTTTTTTAGTATTATCAACCATAAAATATGCTCTATGGTAGAATTTTAAATGTATCCCAGATATCTTTCTGAAATGCATTGGTTCTTTTCCAAGCCCCTGACAACTTTTAACTTCTGTGTTCTGATACACGCATCTTTCTTTCTTGTCATTTCCCTGCCTTCCAAGGGAGCCCTTAGACTCTATGCTCAGTGCACAGCAGGCTTCTTGTCCTCAGTGTCTCAGCCACGCATTATAATGTGCTTAAACCGGACCTGCACCTTGTAGGATCATAGGTCGTTCTCAGCTAGAAGTGCAGTGACTTCTACAAGGGTTTACACAAATGATGCTCTAAAAGATGTGTTAGGTCAGTACCCTTGCCTTTCATCCATTGGTTAAACACTGCAACTTGGGCACCTTGCCTTGTTTGGATGCAGGCTTCTAAAGAAGGGTGTTTCAGAAGGTTGCCTGTTGGAGTGGCAGGAGAACCTGCTCAGGACTATTATATTGTGGCCATATACTCCACTCCGGATGGCCTCCCCCATCAGTGGAGAAAGGTACATCTGAACTTATTATCAGTGTTTCTTCTCATCTGTGGCTGGATGTTACCCAGCTGCATGTAGTATGTCCTTCCACGGATAGAGGTGGCCATTTGACTCAGAGGTCACCAGAGAGGAGTGGCCCAGATCTTGGGTATGACCTTCTATCAAACCCTCTCCCTCATTGTAACCGCTACTGTTGATGTTACCTGGTTTTGAACCATTTATGCATCAGCAGCATGACGTTCCTAAACTTGGAGGGGGGGGGGGAGCTCCACAAACAAGGGACAACACTTATTTAACATATATAAACTCTGCCCCTGTGGCAAGTCCTCTTGCCCATGAGAAGAAACGTTCATGGTAAGTTCCAGTGCTGTTCTCAGGTGGAAATGGTTATACTGATGACCTGTGCAATCAGTTGTTACCATCTTCTGCAGCTGGTAGTCACTGACATATTGGTCCCTCTTTTCTACCAGGTGGCTGCTATCCTAACCCTGCCCTTTGATGTTGTGAAAACCAAGCGACAGATCGAGCTGGGGGACATGGAGACACTTGGAGGTGAGAGGCAGGATGGTACTAGGGGTAAAAGGCTACTGTCTGGACAGGGGCTCCGTGTTTAAGTATATAAACATGAACCTTAGAAGAGGAAAGCAAGGCAAAGAGTGAAACCCTTGTTTGCTGACAAGATGATCAGTTCTGGTCCTAGACAAACTCAGGTTCAGCTTATACAGTGTTCAGCACCACATTGGATCTTTGAGGGTAAGAACCTATCAGAGCCCAGGACAGCCCAGCTCTCTTGTTTCTCAGTCTTCCTTTGCCAGCTAAGTGCTTGAGTACAGTTGAAAAGGATCATTGGCTGGGCATATACATAAAGCTTTTTGGCTGTTCACTTGAAAAAAAACAAAAGCAGCCTTTTGTGGGCTGATGACAGAGGACAACAGATTGGCAGTTCCATGCCCTAAGAAAAGCTAAGGAGCTGCTTGTTGTTCTGTACTTGTGAGTGGCAGTGAAAGAAAAATGCGAACATTTTCATAAATACAGCCAGTACTTATGCCCAAACAGGCATGAACTCTTCCTTTTCCACTAGTGGATAATTCCTAACAAATGTTAATGGCTCTTCCATACAAGAAGGTGTGCAGACCCAGTACTTATGTTGGGAGAGGGCCAACATCCTGATCTGCTTATTAGAGCAAACATATTCTGTGCAGTAATCCCTCCCCTGTAACATAGCAAGTGTTCCTGCATGTGAATATATACCTACAAATATGAAGGTGTGACATGGGAATTTGACCACAGTTTGATTTGTGGCATGAATGTTGCTAAAGCAGGAAGCCCCTTCCTGTCAACTCTTACATTGCAATCCCATCAATCCAGTGGGGCTCGCTTCTAAAAAACCCGACAACCTTACATATGATTATATTTGCAATACTATTATCCATTCTTGAGTGGTGGTCAGCTTGTCTCTTCTTTACAGTGCATCTTGAAATTTCAGCTGTGGTCTGTATATCTCTGGGAGCATGGCCTCCTTACTTGTTGCAAGTCTTAGGAGTTGCCCAGACTCATTTTCCATTTGTCAAAGGAGGAAGATGAAAACTGTTAGGGGAAGGAACAGGGCATTTTCAGTAGTTAGTGCCAAGTCTTTGGAGCTGCTTCCCAGAGACATAGTCACAGTATGCTTCCTTGTCTTGTCAACTGAAATTCTTGGGATTTGGCCCAACACTTTTGCAGATGAGCTCCAAGAGGATACAGGAACTGATTCTGAGTGCCAGGGTATGGGAGCAGTATGGACAATAGGCTAAACATGAGCCAACAATGCAATGCAGCTGCCAAAAGGGCAAATGCTATTTTGGGATGCATTAATGGAAGTATTATTAACAAATCACAAGAAGTAGTGGTTCCTCTATACTTCCTAGTCAGACTTCACCTGGATTTAAGAAAGATGCAAAAAAATTAGAGTCCAGAGGAGAGTAATGATCAAGGGGTAAGAAACACTGCCCTATGAGGAGAAACTGGGCATGTTCAGCCTTAGGAAGACTGAGTGGGGAGATGATAGCCCTTTATAAGTACCTCAAGGTCAAGATCTCTCCTTGCTGATGCCACATTGTAGGACACAGAATAATCAATTCAAGTTGCGACAACCCAGATTCAGGCTAGACATCATGAAAAGCTTCCTCACTGTAAGAGCAATACTGCAGTGGAACCAGCTGTCTAGAAAGGTGGTGGGCTCTACTACACTAGAGACATTCAAGACAAAACTGGACAGCCATCTGAGTGGGATGGTGTAAATTGGTGTCCTGCACCAGCAGGGGGGCGGATCCAATGGCCTTCATGGCCCCTTCCAGTTCTACTATTCTGTGAGCCTATGATGAAGCTGAAAGGTCAACACAGAATCATGTGGTGTTCAAAAAGACATTTAGTCTTGGAGGTGACCCTGTGAAAAGACTCGCCTTGAAGGAGGTACTTGGTAGACTTCTTAACTTGAGAATGGTTGGCTATAGTACATAGACAGAGTTGGTTTTCTGACCGTTTTCTTTCATGGTGCTGTAATCCAGAAAAGTGATTCTGGATTACAGAATCCAACAGAAGCTTTTATTGTGTTATAAAAAGTCTGCCTTAAGTGTTTCAACGTTTGTCTCTCTTGACTGTGTTAGAAAGATAAGTGTCTGTAGTCTGAGACTGTGCTTGCTTGTTTGTAGTTTGCATAATAAAGGTAATTGACTAGAAGTACAGCTAGACAGCTTGACCCCAGAGGGATCCAGGGGCCAGGCACAGGGCAGAGATGCAAGTTCCATATAATTGTTCTGGTGAGGAGTTACAATCTGTCTTAATTGTGCTCTTTTAAAATTATTTTGGCTAAACAGAGTTCTTAATTGTAATTGTATTGTGTGCTCTTAATGTTAATTTGCTTCCAGTGAAAGAACAGAGAATATTTATTTACATATTTTAAATAATGTGTGGCTCTTTCTCTCCATGTTCAGTTAGCACTTCCAGATCATCCTCTACCTGGTTGCTTATGCAGAGGATTCGGGCAGAATCTGGCATCCGAGGTCTCTTTGCAGGTGATTTGCTTTGTCCCTTCCTAGAGCCTTGCTTTGTATTTTGTGAATATGAGCAGGAAATAATTAGAGGATCAGAGCAGAACTTCCTTAATTAAAATCCCTCAGCAATAAACTCTCCATGTATCCACAGAGGACAGGTAAGCAAACCTTTTGGGTCGGTGAGAATTGCTGCTGAAGAACCCTTTGAGTTGCACCAAAAGCGTTCTGTGCCAGGACATGCACACGCAAACCTTTTCTTACTCATAATACTCCCATGCAGGAATAGTGGTGGGAAAATGGCAGACTGAAGCCAGGTTCCCTAAAGGAAGGATGGAAAGGAGACTTTACAGCACCCAACCATCTATTTCTAGCTGTTTCCCCTGATGGCTGGTTAGATGGACAGTGGGAGAAAGTGGACAGAGCTCCAGTGGCCACATCAGGAAGCCACAGATTTTCCAAAGCTGGAGTAGATATGAAATAGATCTCCAGATTTGGACAATGCTCAGGAATGCTAAGAGTTGAAGTCCAAAACATCTGGAGATCGGTTATCTGCCTACTCCTGCCCTTAAAAGTCGGATGAATTGTTAAATCCCATTGTTCAAAACTGCAGTGCATGCTGAATGGTCTGATAATAGTCTGGAATCCACGAGTAGGGGAAATCCAGAATCCACAATTACACAGTCCCTTTATTAGGACCAAATGAATAGCCATAAAAGATTATACAACCTTTTGAGGTCTCCAGATTTTGCATATCCTTTTCTGACATTTTTGTTTGTCCTAATAAGGATATTGCCTAGCAGGACTTTCAATCCCACTCCCTTTGGATTCTGGATTTTTTTAGTCCTGGACCAGCACATCCTTTTTTGTGGGGAGTGGGATAATCTCCTTGAGGGGCAGGATGTTTCTGTTACCTTGTGACACACAGTGATGTGGTTATATGGTAGTATGTGAGCTTGAATTCAAAAGGCATCCTCTTAATTTTACTTGCTGGACCAAGCAGCTGTATGCTGGAAAAGCAGGGAGACAGGTCAGGTTGAGGGTAGGTTGTCCTCCCATTCCTTTCTTCAGTCACCTGAGTTGTAAGCTAGTTAGCTGTGCCTGATAAAAGGAAGACTGAGTGTGCTCTTAGTCTGACATGCCTGTTGATTCTTCTTTCTTCTCCTGTCAAAATCCGCTCTAGGGTTTCTGCCTCGTGTCATCAAGGTGGCTCCAGCCTGTGCCATCATGATCAGCACCTATGAATTTGGCAAGACTTTCTTCCAGAAAATGAATGAGGAACAGCGGCTCAGCAGCCTGTGAAGTTCATGGAAAGGTTCCCAACTGGCAGCCTGCAGAAGGACCAAAGCCATGCTGGCTAAAAAAGGTTTCAGCAGAGACACAGAGGGAAAGGCAGACTGTGAATATGAAGGGATGGATAAGTTGGACCCAGCAGTGATCACTTGTCAGTCAAGATTCAGAAGACCATACCCAAGAACAAGAAATGTTCGGCTTGTTTTGTTTTTTATAGGGTCTGTCTCATGTCAGAGAAATTCCAGGTGCCTTCCAGCTAGCGTCTGCCTTCCTTATTTTCTCTTTCCCTGGAGAGCAGTTTGGTAATTTAAATCCCTTCACTGCATCCCCCCCTACGTTCAGAGTCATGGTCAAGTCTTGTCATTTGGATCCCATTACTTTGGAGCCTTTCTGCTTCTTGGAAGACAAGTGGAAGCTCTCGCCGTGGCATTGCCACAGATTCTGAGAATCTGTAGCTACAAGTATCTGTTGGTAACATCCCAGTGGAATGTGGCTTTCCTTTCACAGCTGTAGAAGGAATTTGAAGAGAAAAAGGAGGAAGCAGACTAGCCTTGGCATTCCAAAACTAGATGATCCTTCTGCTGCATGAAACCTTTTCCCCCACAAGAGGGCAGGGGGAAAGAGATCCAAAGAGAAAAACTGTTGTAGACCAAGACAGATATCTTCTTCCCTGCCTTAATTTTTAAAGTGTCTGTTGGCCTGCATGACTGCTTATCCCCCCACATGAACATTTCCATGCATGATGGATATTGTTGGCTTATGTTGCAATCCCACACTGGACTTTTGTGCGGGCTCTGAATCGAAACACTGTTCTGAACACTCAGGATTTACCTAGCCCTTCCCGTGGCGCTCCCCATGGACAACTTGAACTTGGGTCTTCATGCCTTAAATATTGAGTAGCAAAGGCACAAAAATTGCATTGTACATCCTCCCACCCTTTTCAAAGTAGTCTGCATTCTAGGAAGAGTGAAAGCTGTTCTGGGCCAAGGTTTAGTTTGATTCCTGACATCTTATGTGACATTTCCTAGCGACTGCTAGTCTCATTGCCATTTTCTTTGATTTTAACTTATGTGCCTGTTGCTTACATTGTTGAGGTGGGATGAAGAGCTGAACCCTTTATTAAATAAAGCCATTTAAAAAACAAAATTACTGAGAAAATTGAGAGAGGACTGTCAGTTGATGAGTGGGTTTATCTGCACTTCATTTCTCTCTCCCTTCAACATTTCCTTTTCTACATGCTCTCTAGATATCCTTCTCATTAATGTGGTTACATTCCTCAGAGGAACTCAGCTAAGGGAATGCTTGTACCTCCTCAGTAAGGCAGTGGTTTGTTCCTGTTTTGTAACCTCTCTATGCATGAGGCTTATTCATTGGTTTTGCCCATGAATATAAACATCCATTTCTTTGTCCAAGTGAATATTCTCAAAGTAATTTTCTAGAAAAGCAGAAATAAACCACATTTTATTCACTCGGGGTATATAACACATGCAATTCTCCACATGCCTTTGTCCCATCCACCCCCAGCAAATTCAGACTGTTTGGGAAATGTCTGTAAAATCTGGCTCTAATTGCTGTGGCTCCAGAACATTGAAACATGTCCTTCCTAGCCTCCTTGCCTTAGATATTTAAATATTGTGAGCTTTTAAAAATTGCTGAATGTTTCAAAACAAGCTGCCAGTCAACAGATGAAACCATTCACAAGGAAGGGGTGCCAGGGCAAGAGGAAAGCAGCAGTGTTGCCCTTCTCAACAAAATGAGATGAGTTTGGAGGACATGGGGGGAAAAGAGGATACCTGAAAGGAAAGAGTAGATGAAAGGATAGATGGAATTGTGCAAAATGGGGATTATGGATTACATGCTCCCTGCACTGTCATATTCAAAGCATTTTTTAAAATTTCCAAAATGTCTGTTGAAATTTGTAATGTAGCTGGAAGGGGCTTTTGTACGTAAGAGAGAAGGCAGTCATGGATGAGTAATACTGGCTCTGTGATGTCACATGTTCACTGTGGATCATGTACGCTTGGGAGTTTGCCCTATTTAATGCCAATGACTTCTGATCTAAGCGTGCATCCTATCGGGCTGAATAACCCAGAAAGTCGCTGGTTCAGATCTCATTGTAACTGTCAGCTCATTGAGTGGTCTGGGCAACTTACCATTCTTGCCCATCTGGAGGCAATACTGGCTGAGAGTGCCACTGCTCCTGTGGGAATATCACAACTCTGTATGTGAAGAACAATTGTAGTAGATACAACATGCTGTTTTCCCAGCCTATCTTCAGAAATAGACAAAGGATTTCAGCTGTAGTTTCTGGAGTTTAGACTCTGTTGGAGTTACTGCCTTTTGTGTTGACGGTGCATGACATACTATATGTGCGTCTGACTGCAGAGGAAGACAGTTGCTGACTGGAGAACTTGACACAGCCTGACCATGTTTGTGTGGAGAATGATGCGTGTCAGAAAAGACTGCCACAGACTTTGCTTGCCAGCTCCTTAATCTGCTTTAATTGTTGGCCTATAAGAGTTTTTTCAGCTGTGCAAAGTGGAGATCTCTTCACATACTGGGGCATTCTTGAGCCTGCTTTATCAGGTCAAAATTGTAGCAGGCAAAAAGTTCATTTGTGCCTCACTTCCCATGTCAAAAGATCAGTGATTTTCATTGATCCTCCAGCTTCCCAGGCAGTTCACTTCGCTGTTCCCATAACTGAAATTTCATTTGGAAAAGCAACATGCAGGAAAAACGCATAGGAAGCCATTTCTTTCTGAGTCTGGTAGATGGTGGAGGAAGACAAGGGGCTTCCTGAACCTCAAAAAACCCCAGAAGTCTGGAGGAGACTAGGCTTTTCCCCATAGCAAGGAGGTAGCAAGTTTGTCCAACAGAAGTGCTGCAATTTTACATAACGTGTCTGAGAAGAGAAGATGGGAAACTAATGCCTACTCTCTCCCCAGCTGCTTCTCAAATGCCCTTCCCAGGCAACTTCGGCAAAGCGTTCTGTTTTCGGAGAGGGAGGGGCACACAGAGGTGCTCTGACAGCCTCGCTGTTCATTGTGCAAGTTTTCACCATGAATGTGCAATGAATGTCAACCAGTGCAGTTCTGTCTTTCCTTCCTCCCACCAATACAGTCCAGAGGACATTTTCCTAAGTTCTCCTTCCCAGGGGTGACTGTCTTTCAGCAGTCTCAACCATATAATATATATATATATTACTTATACACAGCATCATTTTACAAAAGCGCTTTTGGCAGGCAATCCTTCCAGCTTCCAACAAGCATACAGCCTTTTAAAAAAATCCTGACCAGAGGAGAGTTTTCTCTTATCCCAGGTAGAGAATCTGATTTCAGAGGAAGATGAGGGTTTGTTGCCCTTGTATGTCAAACTGAATAAAAGGTTCGGTTGCCCTCCCCCAGCATAACCAAGTCAAACAGCAAGGCAACCAATTCATTTTGCTGCCAGAAATCTCTGCTCCCCAACAGGCATCTCGTCATTTGCAGGTGCAGTTGTCCAATGTCTCAGCTAGGGCTATGAGCAGGACTGGGTTCAACGCTGTCGCTCACCAGGCACTCGTTGGATTTTAGACTGGCTAAGGACTTGCAGCTCGGCAAGGAGGCCAAAGACCCACAGAGGCCCAGCATGGATGGAGTTGGGTCCTTTCCTGCAAAGAAAGGGAAGAAATCAAGCTTTGAAGTGGGGGTAACCTCTCACGGGAGTGGGTGTCAGGAGGCTGCTTCTGACCTTCCGTGGGCTATGCTCCTGCCACTGCTTTCTTGCAAAGGTCTGTAGCACATCAACAAAACAAGTGGTGGTTTGCTGCCAAATTTCAGTGGTATACTGGTCTAGAAGCTAACATTTTGCATGCTTTCAAGCAAGCTTTCCACATGAGTTTGCTGGCATATTTTAGCAGCAAGCCAGGGTTTTTTTCTCTACTGTGAATTGCAATGAGGAGTCCATATTAACCACCCAAGTTAAAGAGGTGCAGTGAAAGCTTTATTTTCTTTAAAGGGCCAAATAATTGGAGTTTAATCCTAAAAGAAACCTTTTGGTATTATCTAACACATGGTGTTGTGCTTGGACAGGAGTAGGCAACCTTTTGGATCTGCAGGCACAATTAAATGTTTTGAAGTTTGCTCACAGTTTGCTCCATTACAAACTGCCATGAGGGGTCTGTGCCTTCCACTACTCCCAATTTCCTTTCATCCCTCTCCTACTCATTTTATCTCAATCTGTAGGATAAGTACTGTGGTAGGGAAGGAAGTCTCAGCAGCAGGGGGCAAACAAGAGGTGGCCAGAGAGGGAGAGAGGAAGGCAGGCAGGCAGGCAGGCAGGCAGGAAGGAAGGAGACAGATGAATGGATGGACAGATGGATGCTGGCTACCTGCAGTGGTGGACAGGAGGAAGTGGTAAATGGGATCTCAGTAGGTGCTGGTGAGTCTGTGGGTGCTGCCTGCGATGTGGTAGAGGTCCCTAATGCTGGTGCAGTGTAACCCATCAGTGCACTAATCAACTTGGGATACTGTCCCATGATTAGCACTCCTTTTAATTTGTTCCTCTAGGAAAGGCTAAAATGGATCCAGGACTCAACCTTGCATCTTCCACATCATCATTACTCAACCCCAGAACATCTGTGGCCAACAATAAGATGGCCGAGCATCTGTAAGATGTACTCCTTGCTGAGCAGCACCTGATTCCCTCCAAAAATCAAAAAACCTAGAACAACAAGCCAGGACTGTATGTCAGAAGACAAGGGGAGACTTTGAAGATGGATGCCTACTATTAAATATTAGAATGTGAAATCAGCTTCGTCAGATCACGCTTTTCTGTTAAAAATTGGAGGTAAACCTCACTGTTACATCCCCAAAGATTTAACTTTAGCTTGTATATAACAAGTAGAAAATATGTGCCTGTAAAGAAGGCTTCTGCCCTTCGCTGTGAGTCAGAGTTATGGGTGTGCCTGCTAATTGGAAAGAAGGTAGCCCAGTGACACAGGCATACCTCAAGGCAGGTAAAATCTGATTCATTTCAATATTTAATTCAATGGGTTGCCTCCACATTTCCCAGCCACCCTCCCTCCCATAGCAATGCTTCCAGGCCCCTGAAAATGCTACACAGAGTAGGAAATTCTGCTGTGAATGGGATTAGTTGGGTCATATTGAGGAGAGCAGATCCCCCAAAGTAGAGGGGATTTTTGGAGCTCTCGTGGAAGGCATTTGTGCCCTTTGCAGGCTTATAGGCAGTATTCAGCTTGGGCTCTCAGGCCTTTAAATACTGGACTTATTTCCTTTTTGTGATTGGCTCACACTTACCTTGCAGCATATGAATGTGTCCCTGGACACAGTTTGGAAACATTGGCAGTTCTGTAGCTTTGGAGAAAGCTTGATTTGAGCCCGGACTTAATCCCCAGAACCAGTTTTTTAGTGCTATGATCTCTGATAAGAGAGGAAACAGTAGTGCCATCAAGAGCATGCATGGAGGGCATTCTCCTTGCTCAGAACCAGCACCAACATTTGGAACTGGGACAGAAAGGGCCTATCCGTTGCGTAGGATGGAATCCAGGCAAGCTTAAGCTCTGGCACTTTTTGTTTTCTTAATGAAGCACTGATTTGTTGAGGCCTGTGTGAACATTCTTACCCAGTGGCCCCCAGGGTTCTCCTTCATGCTTCCCTTCACCCATCCTTTGAGAATCTGAACTCAGGCTGATCTCTGCAGACAGCTGATCTGTGCTCATGAAACTGTGCCTGCCAACAAGAGAAAAACGGGGTGTTTCCAGACAAATCTTTTATTGTGCAAATTGCTCTGCCTCAGACGTGGAATTTTACAAGCTGGGGCAGGGAGTTCAGTCATCTTCCATTTGTAACATTCTTAACACCCCCACCGCCTTTTTCTTACCAGAAAAAATCCAGTAAGGAAGGAAAGATGGAATTGTTCCACAATGCTCTTTAATGTTACCACCAGGCATTTTTCATCTGGAAGGACCCTTAGAGGATGCCTGCATCCACTCCCAGAGTGCATAGCAGAACCTGAGTTCCTGTGGGGCTAGCTAGAAAATCAGAGTTTCCCAGACTGCCTGGCTAATTTTGATACAGAGAACTGTTTTCTCTGCATCTCAAGGAAACACAGACTAACTGATTAAAAGTGGGGCCTATTTCAGTGTTTCTTACAATTCAGATTTTACCCTCTCCTCCAGTCACTTTTCTTTCTAAAACTGATCCCACTCTGTCCAGCCAAAATGGGTCACACAAGTGCTTTACAAGCTTGGGCAGTACAGAGATACACAAATGACTGGTGATTCTGCCAAATGCCAGGTGAAAGGAACAGTAGGATGTCTCACTTGCAACAACTAGAAGCATTGAGTGCAATCCTACTGTACTCAGAGATCCCGCTGCAAGATTTCTCTGCATCATTCTTCCCTCTGTGGTTCTTCTAATCCTCTGCCAATGTACTATAAAAGCTGCTATATTTTGTTACCACCAATCTGCCAAAGAAAAACATCTGTTGCTGAATGGGAATTGTATTCTCCGCATCAGGATGAAGGTCCCTAAAAGGAGCAATGTGGCATTTTGTGTAGCTTAAAATGGAGCTAAGTAAGCCATCTTGCATTCCTCACAAGAGGGAAGAAAGGGTCGGATATAAATACAATGTTAATAGTAATAATTGAGAACATTAGCAAAGTCATGCTGATTCAGACCAAAGGCCTGCCTTATTCAGCATTCTTCCCCCCAGTGGCCAGTGACCAGAAGTCCAGAACCAGATGAGGAATATCCCCACATCCCATGTTCCCCAGCAGTCTGGTATACAAAACCACACTGCCTCTGATCCTGGAAGACATACAGCAGTTAGGACTAGTAGCCACTGGTAGCATTACCCCCCTGAAGTTGTCTAAACTATTGAAACCATTCACATTGATGGCCATGGCTACATCTTGTGGCTGCAAATTCCAGTTTAATTGCATGCTGTGTACAGGAGTGCTTCTCTTTCTTTGTACTTAATCCACCATCATTCAGATTCAGTAGAAGATACTGGGTTTTTGTAAAATGGAAAAGAGAAAACATATACTTACATACTTTCTCTGCACCATGCATAATTTTATATTTCTATCATATCCCTCTTTATGCCTAAGTTAAAGCCCCAAGTGTTGTAACCTTTCCTCACAGGACAGTTGCTCCAGTTCCTTTAGCATTTTGGTAGTCTGAACCTTTTCCAGCTCTACAAACATTTTTTGAGATGCAGTATCATGAACATACACCATTTTCCCAGCATAATCGCACCATATATCTGTATATTGACATCACAATATTGGCAGTTTTGTTTTTTATTCCTTTTCTTAATGATCTCCGAGATGGAATATGCCTTTTTCTCAGCAGCCACATTCTTTGTTGATGTTTTAGTTGTGCTGTCCAGTACATTCCCAAAATCCCTTTCCTGGTTAGTTGCTCCCAGCTCACATTCCATCAGCATATATATAATGAGGAGCATTCCCCAGTAGAATTCACTTTACACTTGCTCACACTGAATCACATTTACCATTTTATTGTACATTTTTTTCTGTTTGGAAAGATCTTTTCAGAGTTCTTTGCCAATCCCTTTTTGACTTAGCTACCCTAAATAATGCGGTTTCATCAAAACTGGGCACCTGGAAATACCTTCTCAAGAAAGAGGTTTCTAGTTGTCATGAAAATAGGTTGGCCATTTTGCCTGGACATGTACAAACAAGAACAAGCCTGAGTAGGCTTCCTTTAGTACTTTTTAGGCTGTGGCTCAGGCTGGAGGACAGACTTAGTTAGCCTTAGACCTTTGGGTCCCTTCCAGCTCTGAGGAGCTTCTTAGAAGGCATATATTTTATATACATGCTTACCTTCTGTACATTTTGGCTTCCGAGCAACTTTCATTACCATTCAGAGTCCCCAAAGATGGCCACTGGTTCACCAAAGGTGCAGCCACTTCCTTGGAGAGCCGGGTAAACTGGCTGTTGTCTGAAGGGATGAGGCCCGTCCTGGGGGCAGAGCGGGAGGAGGGAAGTCTGATCAAGGAGGAGGGAATGCAACCTGTCAGCTCAAGGGAACATTACTGTGTCCATCCTCCCACTTCACTCAGTTTCCATCTATGGTAAAACTTAACATGCCACAGACACACGCAATGCCTTCGCCTCACCCTTGCCCCCTGTTCTCACTCACCTCTCTGTCCTCAACCATCTGGCAGCTGAAGAGGCAAGCAATGGGACCAGTTGGCTTCTCAGGGCTCAGAGATGAAAGAAGGCGCACAACAGGATTGCTGTGATCTCGTTGTGTGGCCAGCCGATTGGCGCTAGGAGCAATTGCAGGGTGGCCAGCAAGCCCTGTTCCTTGGCCTTTTCCAGGCCCATTCTGGTGGGTGGGACGATACTGATCAACTGGGGAGTGGGCTTGCAGACCACAGCCCCCACACTGCCTGTATATGGTCTGCTGTCTGCCTACTCAATCACAGAACATCCTCATACGCTTAGGGAAAGTTACCAATCCTGATTCTGAAACTAAAATTCCATCCCTTGGAAAGATGATGTCATGCTTGGATATTACCTTTGTTTGTTAGTAGGAGAATTTATGAAACCTCTAGAAATCTTCAGGGCCACAAAACTAGAGCTTTTCAGCTGCCCAAATATGGATTTCAAGGCTAATGATATCTAGTCTCTTTTTTCTTGGGAGTAAAACCTTCTGATAAAACAATCTCTGGTTTGAGGCACACAGGGTGGGATTCTATATGAGACTTTGATCATACAATTGATCTGCCCCCTTTTACAGGAAATCTGTTAAGGACAGAAAGGTGGCATAATTACACAATACTTTTTCATTGGTAGTTCTGGAAACACCCAAAAGTGATAATCAGGAGAAGACAGATGTTTTCTCCTCTCCTACTGGCAAGATTTTAGGAGGCAAACCCTTAACTATGTGCCCTTTTTTATTTTTTGTTGTTGTTGTTAGTCGCGAAGTTGTGTCCAACCCATCGCGACCCCATGGACAACATTCCTCCAGGCTATCCTGTCCTCCACCATCCCCCGGAGTCCACTCAAGCTCACACCAACTGCTTCAGTGACTCCATCTAGCCACGTCATTCTCTGCCATCCCCTTCTTTTGTCATCTATTGTTCACAGCATTAGACTCTTCTCCAGGGAGTCCTTCCTTCTCATTAGGTGGCCAAAGTATTTGAGTTTCATCTTCAGGATCTGGCCTTCTAAAGAGCAGTCAGGGTTGATCTCCTCTAGGACTGATCGGTTTGATCCCCTTGCTGTCCAAGGGACTCGCAGGAGTCTCCTCCAGCACCACAATTCAAAGGCCTCAATCCTTTGGCGCTCAGTCTTCCTTATGGTCCAACTTTCACAGCCATACATTGCAACTGGGAAAAACATAGCCTTGACTATACGCACTTTTGTTGGCAGGGTGATGTCTCTGCTTTTTAGTATGCTGTCTAGATTTGCCACAGCTTTCCTCCCCAGGAGCAAGCGTCTTTTAATTTCTTGGCTGCAGTCCCCGTCTGTGGTGATCTTGGAGCCCAGGAAAATAAAATCTGTCACTACCTCCATTTCTTCCCCATCTATTTGTCAGGAAGTAAGAGAACCGGATGCCATGATCTTAGTTTTCTTAATGTTGAGTTTCAAGCCAACTTTTGCACTCTCCTCCTTCAGCCGCATCAAGAGGCTCTTTAGTTCCTCTTCACTTTCTGCCATGAGAGTGGTATCATCTGCATATCTGAGGTTGTTGATATTTCTCCCAGCAATCTTAACTCCAACTGGTGATTCATCTAGGCCCACCTTTCTCATGATGTGCTCTGCATATAAGTTAAATAGGCAGGGCAACAGTATACAGCCTTGCCAAACTTCTTTCTCAATTTTGAACCAATCAGTGGTTCCATGCCCAGTTCTCACCGTTGCTTCTTGACCCACATATACGTAGGTTTCTCAAGAGACAAATAAGATGGTCTGGTACTTCCATCTGTTTAAGAACTTGCCACAATTTGTTGTGATCCACACAATCAAAGGCTTTAGCATAGCCAATGAAGCAGAAGTAGATGTTTTTCTGGAACTCTCTAGCTTGCTCCATGATCCAGTGTATGTTGGCAATTTGATCTCTAGTTGCTCTGCCTCTTCGAAATCCTGCCTGTACTTCTGGTAGTTCTCGGTCCACATACTGCTGGAGCCTAGCTTGTAGGATTTTGAGCATAACTTTGCTAGCATGTGAAATGAGTGCAATGGTGTGGTAGTTTGAACATTCTTTGGCATTGCCCTTCTTTGGGATTAGAATGTAAACTGCCCTTTTCCAATCCTGTGGCCACTGTTGAGTTTTCCAAGTTTGCTGGCATATTGAGTGTAGCACTTTTACTGCATCGTCTGTTAAGATTTTGAATAGCTCAGCTGGAATACTGTCTCCTCCACTAGCTTTGTTGTCACTCAGACTTCCTAAGGCCCATTTAACTTCACATTCCAGGATGTCTGGCTCGAGGTCAGTGACACCCCATCGTGGTTATCAGGGATGTTAAGCTCTTTCTTTTATAGTTCCTCTGTGTTATCTTGGCATCCCTTCTTAATCTCTTCTGCTTCTGTTAGGTCCCTGCCATTTTGGTCCTTTATCATGCCCATCTTTATTTTTTAATAGATGCAAAATCTTTGCTCTGAACACAAATAGTGCCTGAAATGGTGAGGATGGGAACATACTTAATTCTATCATTCTGCTAAGGTAAATGCTGGGCATGTGTTGGGCTTCTGCTAATATTTGGCTCCATCTCATTCAGGAAGTGGCTTTAGGGTCTGGTTCACAGATGTATAATCAGACCTATCAAGGCAGCAGCCCCAAGCGGTGGCTTGCAAGTGTGAGGAAGCCATCATTAGCCAAAGAACGAAGTTTTCATTTGAGGCAGTTCACAGACTCTCAAGTTTCTTGTGTATGTATGCATAAAGTGCCTCTAAGCTTTCTTATAATTAGGTTTGCTAATAAAAATGACTTGCGTCCTTGGCTATAAAAAGCTCTCATTACTCATATGACAGACACTTGTGTAAATAGCTGTTATTGCAATTATTCTATCAGCTTGCCAGTCATGCAATCCCTGTTACTTCCTGTGAAATTCTTTTGCACATGCAAGCAACTCTGGGCAGTGTTTTTTTTTAAACTTTGAAGTAAGCACAGGGGACCTATTCCTGCATGAGGATTTGGGGGCTTTAATCCTATACTCCTCACTGGGATGAGGGGACTTATGCCTGCAATATACATGGCCAAATAATGATCCACTCATCGCTGAAAGGTCTGAAATACACCATATTTATCACATAGCCCCATGATTCACTTAAATAAAACAAATATAAAACAAGGGCTGAGATTATTCAGGTGACAATTAAAACACAAGGCACTGCTTGAATCTGATATGTTACAAATAAGAGGCACCTTATGTATTGAAATGTTCTGAATTTAAAGTTATTTCTTTTGTAGAGTAGTGTTCAAGAAAAGGATGTAGAGACTGCATGATTGCAGACAGACATATATACACAGAGATTTTATATTACCCTAACAAATTATAATTTCTCACATTCCTCTTTTGTGGTGGAATGTACATGTTCTCATTTTCGCAATGATTCTTTTAAAATAATGGACAACTAGTGACCCTAGAACTGGAGTGGGAAATCTTTTTTCTTCCCTGTTGAGGGTCATGGTGGACAGGGGCAGAGCCAAAGAGTGAGGGCTATTCTTGCTCTGGGAGGTGTTCTAATAGGCCACTCCAACAATAGGCATTTGAGTAGGTGAATGGGCTTATGTAGCCCATCTCTTTTGGGAAACAAAGGCAAAGGAAGAGTGGGGTGGGAGGCATCCTAAATGTGGACTGGTCGGTGGCAGAGGAATGGCACCTCCTCATGTGGGCCAGGGGGATCCAAGTGCTGGTTACTTACAGCTGTTCCTGCAGTTCCAGGATGACTCCCTCCAGCTCCCGTTTCTCTAACTGATTCTGCACCTTCACCTCCTCCAGTCTCAGCTGCAAACGTTTGTTCTCGGCCTCCAGGTCCTTTAGTTGTGACTCTCTCAACCGCACTAATTCCTCCAGGTAGCCCTTAGACACACAAGGAATGGATTACTGGGAGAAGAAAAGCAGAAGTCTTTGCAGAAAACTACCCTGTAAGACCAGGGGTCCCCAGCCTTTTTGGGTTCCTGGGCATACTTTTGAATTTGAGAAACTGCTAATACATAATCAGAGATCACCACTTTGACATCTTCCTGTAGCATGAAAGGATCTTAGGCTGCATCTTATTCAGCAAAAACTTTTTGTTTTGTGTCCGTTGGAAACCACGGTGCCTCTTTAATAAGGGAATGTCTAATTTGTGAAATTGCTGGTGACGCAATACAGTTTAAACATATGTTTACACATAAGTTTTGGCAGTGCCCAAACTTTTGACAGCTGAAAGACTGATATCACAAAAATGAAGAGGAATACTCACTTCCTATAATGCAATGGACTGAGAAATTTATAATACTTTTGAACTATGAACAGGTGGCATATGAACACCATAGGCAGTGTTACAAAATGGCCAGCTAGAGCTGGAGGTATGGTACCTGGATGTTCTGAGCAGTGCCAAGGATCTTTAGAGCTGCCCCAGCTGCAGGTTTTCATCCACCTAGAGGCTGGGATGCTGACAGGAACTGGTGCAAGCTGCCTGCCTAGACCCTCTCCCCTCCCCACCCCCAGCAGACCCCTTTCTCTCCCCTTCAAGGTACATGTGCGACCTTGGAGAGAGAGTCAGTGCCATTCTTTCTGTGAAGGGGATGGGTAGGAGCTCAGCCTTTGTACTTCTGGCTCTGAGATTGCAGGATATTGGAGCTGAGACTCCAAATAATCCTGGGCCCCACCCCAGGTAAGTCGAAGTGGCCGTAGGATTGTGCCTTTCGTCTAGTGATTAGCAAGGCAGACCAGACCTGGGTAGATCCAGATTCAAAGTCAGAGGAGAGATTTTCCTCCGGACAGCAGGAAGGGAGGAAAGGATTACATTCCCCTTCAACAAGCCTTCTCTGATCCAGCGGGTTACCGCTGCCTTCCCCCAGCTGATTAGATGTGCATTTAAAAACAAACCAACCCTGCTTTGGCTCCCAGAGACACGTATTGCACTCGAGATCCAGGTACCTTTTGTGCATAGACAATGCGAAACTTCTGCTCCATCTTGCGCCATTTATTATACCAGCTGTCTTCAGCTGTCACTAGTGGGAGGTAGGGGTGATCTGGGGAACTGTCCTCACTTGTGCTGCTCTCCAAGCTTCGGCGGTCCTCCTCATCGCTTAGGTAATCATAGCTGCTTACAGAGATTGCAATGTTATTATGCCAGTCCCAACTTCCCTGGTTACCAATCTAGGCCCAATTCAAAGTACTTATATTAATATGTAAAGATCTAAATGGCTTGAAACCAGGCTATCTAAAGGGAGGCCTCTTCCTATATATGCCTACCCGCCCCGAGGCTTCGGCGAATGGGGCGGCATAAAAATGTTTTAATAAAATAAAATAAAAAATAAATAAAATACCCAGACCCTGAGATTGTTGTCTGAGGTCCTTCTCAGTGAGCTAGCTCTAGAGGAAATAAAAAGGGGGCTACTAGGGGAAGGACATTTTCAGTGATGGCACCCCAACTCTGGAATCAGCTCCCCAAGGAAGTGTGCCTGGCGCCAACTCTTTACTTCTTCTGGTACCAGGTAAAAACCATTTTATTCACCCAATACTTTAACAGTTAATAATTTTATATTTTTATTCTGACTAAATTACATTTTATTGTATTTTATTGTGACTGTAACCTTGGACTAATTTGAGTACAACTGTTGTGGTCTTTTTGTGGGCTTATAATGGCCATTTTGTTGTTGTTAATGCATTGATGTACTATTTATTTCTGATTTTAATGTATTGTTTTGTTGTTTATTTGTGCATTTTGATCATGTGAACCACCCAGAGAGTTGTTCTGACTAATGGGAAGTATAGAAATTGAACAAACAAATAAATAATAACTGGGGAGATGTGACAGCAATAGGACACTTACTAGCTCAATAATGGCACTTTAAATTATGTAACTTAGATCCACATTTTAGTGGTTTCTTCTTCCTTATCCGATGAACAGTTTGAGATGTTTTTCACATCCTGCTAAAGAGCACTTTTCAGCCCTGCATGTACTGCTCGCTCTGTCACTTCAAGACTCTGCTGCCTAATTTTCCTGTATCACTTCTGCTTTGCTTCAATGGCCTGCCCAATGCTTTTCAGCCCTGTAAATCCCATCCCTCAATTAGCTCAGGTCTCCCCAGCCCTGTGCACCAAATTCACACAACCACTGACAGGAGAGCTGTTACCTCTGTGTGAACTTCAGATATGGAGTATAGTCGATAACCACAGGAGTCTTGCCGTCCATGATTTCCCCTTTCAGGCAGAAACTACAAAACACGACCAAGATGGGAAGGAATGCAAGCGAAACCAAGTTACCCAAAGGCACCTGAGCACTTTTGTCCTTGAGACTTCCAGATGATTTGGGATGGAATAATCATTCCGTGCACTACCTCTGTCTTGGGTATCTCCAGAGGGAGGATTATTTGGGATGAACAAAAGACTGGAGGTTCCACTGCTGGTGGCAGGACCACCGAGCTACCGATTAGACACTGCAAACACAAAACACTGCAGTACACAACCAACATGCCTGAAACTCCCCCATTTCTCTCTCTGTCAGCCCCTTTCCTTCTGTTTCTCTTTGCCTTCCCTCTTGTCCCTTATTTTCTCTACTGTTGAAATTCTGGTAGTATATATTGACTGTATACACAAGAACCTGCTGTTGTTTTCAGTTTATGCTACTCTGAAAATTATTACTAATAATCCCTAACACTACAGAATTCAGTGTAGTTATTGCAGTTACTTGTTATTGAAGGCAGAGATCTGTTTGGGCTTCTTATATTGCCTGCAGCCATTGTGACTAAAATTATCAGCTTTTTTCACTTCACAGTGAAATCTATAACTCCCACAACTTTATGTTGGTCACAAGAATACTTCTGGAACTTCATATTGCAAGCCTCTACTTTAAGCATACGCTCCATGGTATTGTTAAATCTTGGCACCTTAATCTCTCATATCTCTTGGTTGCTGGTACTGCTTTTCTCTATATGTAAAGGCTGATTGAGGAAAAGGACTGCTTCTGAACATGTTCAGAATGCCAAGTTACCCTCCACCACAGACAAACCCCACTGGGGATATAGCATGACACAAAAACCTCAAATATGTAAACAAAGTAATACAAATATAGCAGCAATATACAAATTATGTTGGGTATAATTAATAAAAGATTAATCTTAAATTAGAAAGGGACGTCTTGGTGTGCCTCTAACTTGTTTTTTGGTGGTGAGGGAACAGTATAGAGGCAAAATAAGCTGTGTTATCCTATGTGAATATCTGGGAAAATTCTTGGAAGATTGAGATATTACCCCCCCTTCCCCCCCAAAAAAGGATCATGTAGAAAATATTAAATATACAGATATTTCTGAGGCACTTTTACAACAAAAGTTTGAAAAGCTAAGATCTGGCAGTTCAGTATAGAAGGTTAAAACTAGAATTTTAAAAAGCAGAAATATATACCATTGTAAAAGTAGAATAGCTGGGAGGTTGGACTATAATCAGCATGAAAAATAATGGTATGTAGGCTGCAATACAATACCCACTTTCTGGGGAATTCTAAGCAACTTGATTCTGAGTAGATATGTACAGGATTACACTATTAGCATATTAAAAGTGATGTTATGGATGTTATATAAAATAATTTACAATATGGTCACATTATTTAAAACTGATGTTATGGATGTTATATAAAATAATTTACAATATGGTCAAAGCAATCCCCTGATCATTGGGAGTCTATCCCGGAGGCCACCTACCAAACACATAATAATATTGCAGACCCATCCCACTAGGCCATCGGCGCAGCTGAGAGCTCAGCTGAGGGAAATCACAAGCGGGGATTACCCCCACAAGCATGCTGCCATAGAAATTTGGGCAGCCCCAGTCCTGAGTCAGAGGGGAAGCAAATATACTCTTTCTCTTGTCCTCTTCCAAGGCCGTTTTTGTGGCCTCAGATAGGGCTGGGGAAGGAGAAGGAGGGGCACAGGTCCTCCATGGTTGCCTTCACCCACTGAGACTTATAGATGAGGGACAGGCCCAGAGCCCATCCTGCCCAAATTGCATCTCAGGTGGGAAAGACCAGGAGGCTCCTTCTGCTCCTGCAGATATGTGGGGAGGGTCCTGATCTACCAGCCCTCGGCCTAAAGAGCATCAGTCCTTTGGGACTGAACTCTTGCCTGAGTTGAAAATACAGGCAGGATACCACTTGCTTGCTTGTTTGTTACACACTGACAGTGATTTATACACTTGTAACATGGCTAGATACTGCGATGGATAATTTGTGCAGATGACTATTTATAGAATAATTGACTGTGATGCCATCCATGGGTATTTGTTTAATCATTTCAATACTGGTCATATTACTGAGTATTAAATGGGTGGAATACAGCATGCATCATGTTTAAATATGGTTTTTAAAGTAGATCGGTATTTCTTAATCCGTGAGTTTATTTTTCCAAAAAGGTAAACAATCTGAGAACTAGTCCTCCCTGAAAGGACAAAGGATTTAGTGGGTAGGACAGTGTGAACATACCTGAAGTCAATGGCACTGAGTCCAATCAGCATCCCAGTGAGGACTGTTGATTCCTCTCTCAGCATGATTGCCCCATCGTCATAAAATCTCCTAGGGAGGAGAGTGGGGAGAGAAGTTTAATCAGATGCAGGGGATACAGTGGAAGAAAGGAGAGTTAGGCAGCTTCCACAGTTCTGCTAGCATAAGCATTTCCCACAAAATGGTTGGTTTTTGCAGTGACTGACTCACCCATTGCTGGGGGTCTTGAAGCTGCTACCCAAGTACTGCAATATGCCTCGATTACCAGACAAATGTGAGGATCAGGACATTGGTGCGTCTCTTCCTCAGAATGGAAGACTCCAAGTAGATCAATACACACACACACAGAGGTAATTCTAAGCCAAAGCCACACATGGGATAGAAGGACCCAGTTTGCACACTAGTGGTTTGCAAACCATGGTGGATTAGCAAGTCTGAACTCAACGCTCTTCCTGCAGGGTGGTTTATAAGCCATCTTGGGGTGGTTATAAACTACCCCAACTAGCCACAACTTGTAGTAGGCTTTAATAAAACCACTGTGGCTTATTGTGTTGTCCAGACTTAGACCACCAAATAAGTCATGGTAAATTTTTTAAAAGCAGGGAAGGGCAGCAGAAAGGCCTTGCTCAGGCATCCTACAGTGTCAACACAACACTGGGATTTTCCCCTCCCAGATAGCAGCAGGTGGGCAATTCAGAATTTGAGGCAACCCCTATGCAAGGAGACAGGGCTGTCCCTTTCAATCACAAATCCCATGCTTCTCCCATTGGGGTTTCCCTCAGGTGTTGCCACTGCCCAAGCTGCTATCCACTCAGGTTAAGCTGCAAAACCCAGGAGACAGATGAGGCTTAGGGGGTGAAGGAATTGAGAAGCATCTCCCAAAACACTCTTTCTACAAGTCCTTGGGGTTTTTATGGGGGACCTTGTGCTTTTCTGTTACCCACACCTGGGAAAGTGAGAGCAGCCCAGAGCTACAGGAATCTACCCCCAAAAACACAGAGGGTTCGGCTGCAAAGCATGCCCAAACTTAAAAAAAAATGTTAAAAATACTTAGTGGTGGCCTACAAAGCTACAATTTGGCAAGACCACTTCTCTACATGGACACAGCGTCTGTGCCAAATTGCAACATTTTAGCCAGCTGCTAACTATTCTTTCCTGCTTTTTTTAAGCTGACATGTGTAAAAAGCGCATTTACAGCAGAATCCTTAGGGTGTTTTGAGGGTTCATGGCATCCTAGTCTACTCTATAACAGGGAGGCATTTTTCTTAAGAGTCAAACCATGGTCAACACTAAAAGGCTTGCCATGTCTCAGGGGGCATCTGGTACTCCTTGTCCTCGAATACTGCAAAAGAATAGAGAGAGGAAGAGGAGGCAGGCAACTGCTGCTGTGCCCGATTGACTGTCAGGCTGAGAGGTTTTTTAACCACAGAACATGGTTAAATCTCACAAGGGGCTTGATGTATTGTGTGAACCCAGCCAATATTGAGCTGTAAGAATTCTTTAGATTTTTTACATTTGGGGGTTTGGGGGCTGATTTGCTTCCAGAATTATAAATGTATATGTCACAAGAAATGATGATAATGATGATGATGAGCAATATTATTATTAAATTACATTTTTGTATCACCCGTAGCCAAAGTTCTCTGGATAGTTCACAACATTTAAGTCACCCATCCAGTTTTCAACCAGGTCCAATCTGCTTAGCTTCCAGGATGAGGCAGATTCAGGCACTTCCAGCTGTACAAAGCTTTATAGCTTTTAAAGTTCCACAAGAGTCTTATTTTATTTTTACTGACATATTTTTGCTGTACTTTTTAATGTGGTAATTTTAATAGCAAACATTTGCAACAAAGCTTGTTTGATCCAAAGTCAACCATGGGGCAAAGAAAATGAGTGTGAATCATGTGAATGATGCCTTCTACCAAAGATTCAATTTTGGTACAAGCTGCAGAGGCTCCCACCTGGTAGTTCTGGTGTCCTGCAGAGCTGTGGCAATATACTCGGACATGCGCTTTTCCATCAGTGCCACGCGGATCCATGCCCGGCCCTAAGATAAAAATGTGTTAAAACAGACAGAATTGTGGCCAACTTTGCCATTTTAATGCACTGTGATCAATAATGTAAGTTCAATAACACTACCAACCAAAAGATTGTTTTGTTTTGAATCAGGATTATAACTGGTTCAAAGATATATCTGCATCGCAACATGGTCTGGTTGGAAAAATCTTAGAAAATCATGACAAATGCCAGGTGAGCACTCTTGTCATACTATTAACTGACTTGGACCTGTGCAGCTCCCTCTCAGGTGGGGACTTGGGAGGCATCCTTGCCTCCAATCCAGACAACCCCTTCCCTAAGGCTGCAATTCTAAATTTGCTTAAGCTGGATGTCAGTCTTGCTGAAAACAACAGGGCATACTTCCAAGTAAATATGAATTGAGCATTTAGGATTAGGCTGCCTTTCAAAACATTTTACTTGGATTTTTCTTCACCATGGTCAAGGATGTACTGTGACTTTCAGATCAAAAGTCATAAATAAATAGTAGAGCAAGAGAGTAGATGTGACACACTATGTGCTTTGATTTAACATTAACTTCATGAGAACCTGACAAATAAAATCTTTGTCATAAAATATCACATCTCTGGCCTTGATGACTGACCTTTTATGGTCAACTAAAGCTGGTGTCTAGATCAGCTTTAGTACTAAAAGAAAACTGTACACATGATGGCACAATGATATGTAACTTCTTTCCAACTGCATCAAATATATCATACTCAAACAGATCAAATCTGGAAATGAGGGGAATAAGAGATCTTGTATTCATTCTTGCAGGAATACACCAAGGTAAGGAAATAATGGAAACAGGTTTATCTGAGATTTAATAGGATAACAGAGACAAACTTAGTGCCAGAGCAGACATTGCTAAAAAAAATTGTATCTAACAGCTAGGTTATTTAAGTTTACTTGGGGTAGACACATAGACCAAGCCAGATCTTCAAACCCCCACCTACTCCCTTGTACCTATTCCGGAGTTTAAAAAAAATAGAAAGAGAGTGAGAGTAGCCATTCATCGCACACTGAAAGTAATGTCTGTTCTGGCCTATCCCAATCAATCAAAGGTGCAGAATTAGTAAGCTTGAAGCAGAATGGAAATATTTTAAATCAATCTGGACCTTCAAGTAAAATACTGTATTGGTGATCCTTTAGTGTTGTTGGAAGATAGTAAGTAATGTTCATTTAACTGGTCATCTATAGACCTATGCATACTTATCCCTCAGGATGTTATTTTTATTATTTCTTTTCTATACCTCCCCATAGCTGAAGCTCCCTGGGAGGTTTACAACAATACTAATAACATAAATACAATAAATATACCATAAAATCTAAGAAGCATTAAATTTTTAAACAGCTGAAACATACAGTAAAGAATGACCCTGCCAAAGAAACACCTGAGATGAGTAAACCCCTCAGGCCTCTAGGCAGCCAAGTAAATTTTCAATAGCCAGAGAATCCATGGGGCTGAACAATATTTTCCAAGCAGCAGCTTCTGCAGACAGCCCTCCAAGTAGGAGCAGAGCCACTGCTACAAAGTATCCCGCCCCCCCAGTCCCAGCTTAAAGAATTTCTCCAGAAAGATAACATGGACAATGGTATCAAAAGCTGCTGAGAGGTCCAGGAGTACCAGCAAGGACATAGTACCCGGGTCTCTCTCCTACACGGCAACCAAGCCTATCCCCCTTTCTTTTCATTGATAGCTCTCTGTTCTGAGGTAAGCATCCTAGATTTGTATAATGCAGATAAACTGTTGACTTTTTCTTTGTGCTAACTTCATTAATATTAATTTTCTGCAGGATTCCAGTGTCTTCATGCACATTCAGAAAGAACAGGTAAATGAGGCTCAAGGTTGCGTTTCTGACCTTGGCTCTGGAGGTGCTGATGTTTTCCATGTTTTCAATGCTACTGACACAGTTATTTGGGACTTTGCTGCAGGCCAAGCGGATGTAATCCCAGAAGCCACGTTGTCCATCAGAGCTGAACCAACTGACAGGACCTGAGCAGAAACGCAAAGGAACAGATGAAACAGGCTGTGAGAGACAGAACTGCCACTTATGAACCATTTACCCTGGCTGTCCATGGATGGTGCTAGCCAAGCCACCAAGTTAAAAGAATATAATGGAAGGAGATCAAAAGCTTGCTTGATATTCTTGATCCTAGACTTCTCATACAACCTTTACTGTCAAATGGAGCGCTCAGACTTCCCAAATCAAGGGCAGGCTACAGGTAGCACTGCCTCTACTGGCCATTTGCAATATCAGTAAGGATTTCATACTGTCAATTGCTTTATGAAGCAGCACCAAAATTACCCCACACACCCTAAATTATACAGCTAAATTTGGGCAAATAGGAACAGGGAAAGGCTAGGAGCTCCATTCAGTTCTGGTACTCAGATCAAGTTCCTGGGCTCAGAATACTGTATTCTTAGCCAGAAGTGGGGAACCTGCTTAAGGTGGGAGCTAAAATCAGCCCCAATGTCCCACTACAGATCAAGCGCCATCAATGGGCATGCCATGCCCTGTCCCATTGTCCTTGGCCAGTGCCTGAAGGAGGGGCTTCTCCTGCCCAGTTTCCACCTTTGTGTGCTGCATGGTTTCCCCACAGGATCAGCACGTGGCGCACGAGTGGGCCTGGCTCATGATGGCAGGGGCTGCTCCCCCCAGTGCTGGCCACATCTGGAGCTTCACACTCCACTTCCCTCCTTTGCAGACTTCCCACTGATGCATTTTCCTGAAGGAGCGCTTACATCCATATTTGCCCAGTCGCCCCCTGAGATCGGCGGGAGAGGCCCTTCTCCGGGAGCCCTCCGTGAGAGAAATTAGGAGGGTGGTTACTCGGAGAAGGGCTTTCTCAGCGGTGGCGCCTAAGTTATGGAATGCGCTCCCCAGAGAGGTCCGCCTGGCGCCGTCGTTATTTGTTTTTCGGCGCCAGGCTAAGACCTTTTTATTTAAGCAACATTTTAAATGCTAAATACAATTGAATTTTATCTGGCCAGGGCGGCTTATTTTATAATGTGAGTTTTAATTAAGATTATTTTATATGGATTTTAACTTGTTTTATCTATGTTGTAAGCCGCCCCGAGGCTTCGGCGAATGGGGCGGCATAAAAATGTTTTAATAAATAAATAAATAAATAATAAATTTTCAGGGGAAATGTTGCCTTTCCTTGCAGGCCTTACCATGATCACCCTTGAAACGATGGCTAAGAATGTGCTCTAAGATGGCAGCAAAATTCACAAACTCCTCTGATGAGTCATCAATGGGATCTATTGTATATTTTTCCAGCAGGGTCTTTACCGAGAATCTATAGTGGAATAAAAAAGCACACACAGAGAGATTTTAATATGAAGGGAGAGGGGAGAAGGGAAGCCAACTCCTTTCTTGCCTCCGCTCTTTCTTGACGCATGCCACAAAAAATATGTCCTCTGATTCTTCACCAAGCATAAGGTACTTTCCTCCCCGTTCTCCTTGTTGGGATGTACCTTTGTTAAGGAATCACAGCATGCTGCAGGGGAATGTGGGACAGGCTGAGCAAATGCAGAGTGAGGGTCAGGGCTGCTGGGGCCTTGTGGTAGCTGGCTATGAATGGAAAGTCTACCCAAGACTTTCTGAATAACTGAGCATTGCAAGGGGAGCTGTGGTAGCTTGTAAGTTTGCCTCCTGTTACTGTTTTGCCGGAGTTCAGTGGTGCATGCATAAGCTCTCAGGGCTCAATCAGTGGCATTAAAAATACAGTAAAGGAACATTAGGATGCTTCCAAATGGATGACTCCAAGCCCTATCAATAGTCATTGTGCTGGTATTCCATCTTTCTTTCTTGCCTTAACAGTTTTTGTGGAAAGGGAAGAAATGGAGGAAAATCAGGTGGGAAATGGTGGGAAGATCTGGAAGGGTTACAAGTAGAAGGTGTCATTCCCTGGAACTCAGCAGGCTCACTCAGTGCATCTCAGCTTTCATGCCACGTGCGCATGGCAAAAGTGCTTCATGTACGACAGTTCTAGGATCAATGTGGGCCATGCGTAGGACTGTATAGTCTATTACTGTCAGTGCAGAAGTTGGTACTGGATGCCAAATTCATAAATTTCAGAAATAAAAATGTGTTTTCTTAGTTTTCTATGTTGCCTAATTTAAAAAACAAGGACAGTCTAGACCAGTGTGCATTTGTGTGTGTGAAAGGGAGGGAGAAGACCTTGTTGCTTCAAGCTGCAGGTGCACGAGTATGTAGGACAGTCTTGGCTCCAAGTATAGAGCAGAAACAAGAGAGACAGAACATTTTTTTTCCTTTTTTTCAATTGAACATACAGTAATTCCCATCATTTTAGAGCAAGGATGAGAAACCTCCATTCCATAGGCCTAATCCAGCACATAGAGGTATCACATCTGACTGCAGAGCCTCCTTGGTTCCTCCAAGGCCAAGCCCCTGGAGGAGTCCTGCCTTATCACTGATCTTCAATGGAGGAAGTCCACTTAACAGCAGGGATGCTGGTGGCACAGGATGCGACCTGTGCTGGGTGGAGACACTGCTCTGCCTGTGGCTGGCCAAATCCTTGCAAATCTTGTGTGAAGCTGGGGACTCTGCCAGTACTGGGAGGAGCAGCAACTCTTCCCAGAACCAGCCAAGTCCTTTTGCACTGTGTGGGCCAGCACATGTCATGTGAACCTAGGCCTCTGCTGGAGGAGTGCCATATTTTTCAACCCCTGAGGCTGTGCAACTCTTTCCAAACACAAGTAAAGGAATCCCAGCTATCAGCCACTCAGTCTGGTCTATCCACCAGCTAGCTCACTATGACAATCTATGTGGCACCATCTTGTGGTGGGAGGGCCCTCCGTGTGGAGTACAAATCAATAGGTATAACTTTCCTGGCTAAAATCATGAACGGATTAGCACATAGCTGAGCTAGAGAAAAACCCTCTCCTAGAAATCAGCACCTGTGCATCCTTGAAATGTAGCTGACACTGACCAGGCAGCATTCCAGAGAGGGCCAGTTGACTCTTGACACATAATAGCAGCTCAGACAAAGGGCAATTCACACCAACTCAAGCCAGCCCATCCTCCTCCTCTTCTCTGGAATAGCACCCCATTCTCCTCCTCCCCTTCTTGTTGCTTAGGTAGGCAGGCAGGAAAGGTCATACCATTGTAACTTTAGTTCAGAAAGCCTTAACCGTGTTACCTGTAATCAATGTATAAAAGATCCAACAGAGGACTGCTCAGGTGCACCATCTGGAACGATCTGTTGGCAGCCAATTGTTTGCGAAAATGAATCTTTTAAAAGAAAACCTTCCCCTGTTGTGTAGTTTGGGCTTTTTGCACACCAGGACACAGGCCTATTTGGGCCAACATGTGGGCTGGCTGAAGGCAGTGGGTGGCACTCCCCTGCCCATTTGTCCTGCAGGGGGCACAGGGTTTTGGCCTGCCTCAAGAGGCGCAAGCGCTCTCCAAAAAAGAGCAGCAACACCAACTTAGCTGTGCCCCATTGACTGCAAACACCCTCAGTGTGGCATAGTGGTTATTGCTGGACTGGGGACTTGAGAGATCCAGGTTCTGATCCTCATTCAGCCATGAACCTTTCCCTGGGTGACTTTGCAAAGTTATTGATGGTTGTTGTGAAGATAAGATGGACAGGCAGAAGAAGATAATATAAACTGCCTTTGGTTCCTCACAGAAAAAAGGCAGGATATAAGTGTAACAAAGAAATAATGGGTGAGAAATACTCTGAACACTCACAATGCACTATATGACCCCCATCAGCACAATCTTGTGCATGCCAACTCAGAAGTAAGGGCTGCTGTTCTCCCTGGGAATGCATCTTGAGCAAGGGTATATGGGAGCACAGTCAAAGTAGGAATATTTAGTGTGGAGCTTTCACCCTCCTCAGTTTACTTCTTTTAAGACTATGATTGTTTCATTCATATGCAGTTTCTGATATATGAATACTATCTCTTTTAATGCTTTTGAACACATAGTTCTCTTGATTTAAAAATATATTGGAGAGTGGCTGGGGTAAATAGTATCTACAGTACTAATTCACGAACAATATGCTGGGGCACACTTTACATACCATAAAGAAAACAGCTTGAGTGTTGAGAGAAATATATGAATTAAATCGTTAACGGCTCCCAAGAGTGCTTGCTGCAGCTCTGCATGACCTGTTGTTCTGGACATAATTCTCTCCAACCAGTTTCTGCTGGGTGTGGGGAATGATGTTTCATCTATTCATCAAGTAAGATTGGATTGATCACTCTTAGTAGAAATTTCCTTCCTCAGAGGAAGTTATCAGTTGTATTTCCCTATGAATCATTGCTCCCTTCCAGTTAGGAAGGATAGTCTAATGGGTGACATGCGAAATCATAATGAGTAGGACCTTGAGGGCAGAATATTTCTGTGTGTATGCAGTCTAAAATGAAGCTTTATGGGAATGTAGCTAGGATTTTATGGCTACATATTTTAATTTTAAATAAGGTGTTCTTCACCTTTCAGAAGTCTAAGAAATGCTGATCTACCTGTGGTAAGAGCAATATTATGTTTTTCTTTTTTCATTATTGTAATTTAATTACTGTACTTTGCTTTGAATGTTGTATTTTATTCTTGTTTCTGTTGGCTGTTCATGGGCTGATGGGTGCCTACAGAAATTCATTAATTAAAAAAATCTTAAAATTTGTGCATTCCTTAGAATAATGTGAAGTTCACCAGGTACTTTGGCTTTTTGCTCAGTGGATACTCCCATGGCCTCAATGGGGATGTGATCAGAATTATTTCTGCAGGCTGTAAACAAAATTAAATCGAAATCAGGAAAAGCAAAACAAGCCCCTAACAATAGCAACCCTGGAATGAGTGGATGAATAGATGCTGGCAAGTATGCATCCATGCAGGATCGACATGTACCAGCACGAAGACATACTGGCGTCTGAGTCAGAAAACTGAAACAGCACCCTCCTGCCAGTCACGGTGGTAAAAACATACAAACAAACCAGCCAACTGACCATTTGCCACCTGAAGCAGACCACCCTGTTTTGCATAATGGCAGAACTGGCTTGGTTCCTAGAATAATCTCACTTGATATTCCTAGAAAGTGGTATGTCTTCCTGGTGCAGGACCTTCTGTTATTTACTGGACCCTGATGGGCCAGCAGCCCTATAAAAATTCCCTGGCTCTGGGCAGCTATATCTATCAAAGGTTTTGCTCAACGGCAGAATGTGTGCTTTGCATGCATTCAGTCCCAGGTTCAATCCCTGATATCTCCTATTATTTATATTATTGTTAATCAGGTAGCAGGCAATATGGAATCATAGAAACGGAACAGTTGGAAAGAGCCAGACAGGCACTGGGTGCAACCCTCTTGCTCAGTGCAGGACACAGTGTTAAATCATCCATCCCAGATGGATATCCAGTTGTATCCTGAATGCCTCTAAAGTGGGAGAGCCCACAACCTCCCTAGGTCATTGGTTCCATTGTTTTACTGCTCTAAGAGTCAGGAAATTTTTCCTGGTATCTAGCCAGAATCTGGGGTCCTGTAACTTGAGCCTGTTATTCTGTGTCCTACACTCTGAGATGGTTGAGAAGAGATTCTGGCCTTCCTCTTTGTGACAGTCCTTTCAAGTACTTGTAGAGTGCTATCATATCTCCTGTCAGTCTTCTCTTCTCTTCTTGACGCTAATCATGCTCAGCTCTTTCGGTCTCTCCTCACAAGGCTTTGCTTCCACCTAAGATACAGTCCTCACTATTACCTGCTATCTTGCAGTCACAGAAGGGAATGCTGGACCACTTCCTGGGTGTTGCTGGCAGCCTACAGCATGTTTCTTTTGGCTATCCATACCCACATTCCTTGCTAATGTCTTCCTGACATTTCAGTCTGTGCCTTGCACAGATCCTGGTCCTCTTTGTCTTACCCTTGCTTTTGACCTATACAACTTCATTTCCCTGTTTGTTTCACCCCCAGTTCCTGAAAGAATATTTCTGAAAGTTCCATAAAAGCACAGATGCTTCAACAACACTGAATACATTATTCAGGAATTGCCAGGTGGCATCAGGCCTGCATTCCCCTAACCCAGCACTCTGCCTTCAGACCACTGACTAGTCAGAATCCCCCAGGAACCTGGCAAGGACGGTGTGATGTGTGCTCTCCTACCACTGCTGTGAGTCACAAGCACCCTCTCGCCCAGGATGCATAGCAACTTTGAACATATGGGGTACGATCCAGGAATCATTAGTCATTATGAGATCCCATTGAAAGCAATGGAATGGGGCTTAGTCATACTAAGTTTATGATTTAATTAGTTTCTTGCAATGTTTCTATCCCGAGTTTCAGGAGATAGATCTTTCCAAGGTGGCTTGCGTGTAACCTCAAGAGACATTAATGGGAGCATGGAAAGCTTGCCAAAGGTTGAGTTAGACCACAGGTCCATCTAGCCCAGGACAGACGATACTGGCAGGCTGTGGTTTTCCAGGAAGGGTTTTTTTTCTGGCCTACCAGATGTTGTAGATAAAATGTGAGACCTTCTAGATGCAAAGCAGCTTCTCCACTGCAGAACTGTGGCCTCTCTCCCTAAAACCACAATAAATAAATAATAAATATAACATTGGTGGTCTTAGCTCTGTGCAGGGCAGGCAGGGCAGGGCTGTTCATTTGCTGAATTGACCCAGAGAGTGCATTTCTGATAGCTGCTGATAATCTATTCTGCGTATTTGTTTAAAAAGTATATTATCTTTTTCCAGTGAATGAAAAGAATGATGGACAATAAAGCAATAGCAGGCACTGATGCTGCTTTATGTTGAATGGATATCTCCTTTCAAAAAATCAAATTGCAGCCCAGTGGAAAACTGACTTCTATACAGAGCTTGCTCACTATGATAGGCGATAGAAAAAAGGAACAAAAATCAAGCACAAATTCAAGTTCCACAGGGATCTTTTCTTTGAATGCTAATTTGAGCACTATTTTTTCCTTTAGAACATTTTAAAAAAATCAAATGTAAGTTCCATTAAAAAGAAGGTGCATTAATGCAATCTAATACAGGGTTGTTCAGAAGTAAGTCCCATAAAGTTCAAGATGGCTTACTCCCAGGTCGGTGGGCAAAGGGTTGCTTGTCTTCTTTACTGGTTTACTTCCACTGTATTGTCTGCTTCCCTGCTATGGATCGTGTCTATTTGGCATTTCTGTCAAGGTAATCTACTCTCTCTCCTTCTTACTTTAGACACTTTAATAACTTAACAACAGCAGTAGAATCAACTGGGGCTGGTTTAACTAAGTGCTTCCTTTTGCTTGCCTCACATAACCGTGACCATGAAAGATCACACTCTTATTTTGTAACTGTGGGAATATCTTTGATTTTAGGATTAGAGCTGGTATCTATCCCTAATAATCCTCTGTTCTCTCTCCAGGTAAAAGCCCTAACTCAGTCTGGTGCCCTGAGGGATATGTTGGACTACAACTCCATCATCCCCTGTGATCATGGGGAAAAACATCTGGAGGGCACAGGGTTGGGGAAGGCTGATTTACATGTTACATCTATTCGTATAAGACAAATGACCCATCCTCAGTCTATTATGATCATTTTAGCATCCAATTCCCTCATCTTCTCCAGCTCTGGTTCTTTGATATGGGGTGATTAAAACTGCACTCAGTATTTCAGAGGCTGGAGAACACATTTAATTAAAATAGCCAACAAATCTTTAAAAATATTTTGGGCAGGATGGAGAAGCAGATCTTCCTTTGCTGGGGAAAGCAACAGCCTAGCAACCAACTGCTTGTGGCTCTCGTACTGGAAAAGCCATCTGGAGTTGCTTTTAGAAGAAAAAGTAAGGCTATAACTATAATCCTTATTATTAATAATTGTATCTATAAACTGCCCCACAGCACATAGGGCTCTCTAGGCAGTGTACAATATAAAACAGTATAAATAACATCAATAACAAAAACAATAAAAATAGAATAAAAGGGACTCAGTACCTCAGCAAAGCTGTAACAAAAAATAACACAACTTATAGCACTGTAGCAGCTTGAAAATAAACATCGATAAAAACAATATTAAAACCTAACATTGGTTAATCATTAAAATATGTTCCACAGGTGAGGTGCAACTACAGAGAGGACCCTTCTCCTAACCATTGCCCCCTTTACTTCTTTTAGCAATGGTTCCTTAAGAAGGGCCTTCATGGAAGATCTTAAAGTCCACAGGAACATATGGAGAAAGTAACCTGGTCCCAAGCCATTTCAGGCACTGGCACTTTGAATTGGGCCCAAAATTCAACTAGTAGCCAGTACAGCTGGCAGAGGACTAGTGTAATATGGTCTCATATGCCAGTCTCTGTTATCAGCTGTGCTGCCCTATTCTGGATCAGCTAAATGAATAGGTACACGGTAGCTTGTGCTAGTTAATAAAATTTTGCCCATTCACATTTAGGGCAGAATTTTAAAATCAGAACACTGGCTGGTTTTAGGCAATGATACTCCTGCTTTACTCCACCTTCTATACAAATAGCTGTCACAAACTTCATGCAAGCAGAGACCTATCAGATATTTGAATCCACCCTAATCAAATAAGTCCATCAATCTCCTCTCCCTTCCTTGTGTTTCTCATACCTTTTTTGTACTGGTGCTATTGTTACTATTTCTATTGGCGAACTCGCATGGGCACAAAGCCATCGCTTCCTTCTAGAGCACAGTCACCTTCTCCTTGCTTCAGCAAAGCTTGCCTGAGTATAAGACAGGGCAGGAAATTGGGAGGCCTTGTGCAATGTGAGGCTAACAGCTCTCCCCCTCAGTTAGTGCCTTTTGTTGGGAAAAGGTGTTGCTAGACAGCTGCCGCGTGGATCCCACCCTCCTCCTCCTCCTCTCCTGCTCTGCTGCTGCTGCTCACAAGATGTTCCACAGTGACGTCACTTCCAAGTTCTCATATCTCCCCAACCAGGGTGCCTGCATTCATCTTCGTACAGTATTCCACCACAGAGCTTTGAGGAACCAGGCTGTGCCCGGGTGGGGAGAAAGTTAAACTGAATGAAAGTGCTCCTGCATCTTGACATTCTCTTTCTTGTTTCTTTCTGTTTGATGGTGTTTAGATTATAATCTCCCATCACTCCAAAGGATAACAGTTCACAATGACAACAGACAGACAGGAACCCTCAG